CATGCCCTCTGACCAGACCCCGATTTCCATGTAAGTACAACCCAGTCATGACCTCTGACCAGACCCCGATTTCCATGTAAGTGCAACCAGTCATGACCTCTGACCAGACCCCGATTTCCATGTAAGTACAACCCAGTCATGACCTCTGACCAGACCCCGATTTCCATGTAAGTACAACCCAGTCATGACCTCTGACCAGACCCCGATTCCATGTAAGTACAACCCAGTCAAGCCCTCTGACCAGACCCCGATTTCCATGTAAGTACAACCCAGTCATGACCTCTGACCAGACCCCGATTTCCATGTAAGTACAACCCAGTCATGACAACCCAGTCATGACCTCTGACCAGACCCCGATTTCCATGTAAGTACAACCCAGTCATGACCTCTGACCAGACCCCGATTTCCATGTAAGTACAACCCAGTCATGACCTCTGACCAGACCCCGATTTCCATGTAAGTACAACCCAGTCAAGCCCTCTGACCAGACCCCGATTTCCATGTAAGTACAACCCAGTCATGACCTCTGACCAGACCCCGATTCCATGTAAGTACAACCCAGTCATGACAACCCAGTCAAGCCCTCTGACCAGACCCCGATTTCCATGTAAGTAAACCCAGTACAACCCAGTCATGACCTCTGACCAGACCCCGATTTCCATGTAAGTACAACCCAGTCAAACCCTCTGACCAGACCCCGATTTCCATGTAAGTACAACCCAGTCATGACCTCTGACCAGACCCCGATTTCCAAGTAGGTACAACCCAGTCATGACCTCTGACCAGACCCCGATTTCAATGTAAGTACAACCCAGTCAAGCCCTCTGACCAGACCCCGATTTCCATGTAAGTACAACCCAGTCATGACCTCTGACCAGACCCCGATTTCCATGTAAGTACAACCCAGTCATGCCCTCTGACCAGACCCCGATTTCCATGTAAACCCAGTCAATCTACAACTCCACAACCCAGTCCAGACCCCTTTCCATGTAAGTACAACCCCTGGCCTGACCCCGATTTCCATGTAAGTACAACCCAGTCAAGCCCTCTGACCAGACCCCGATTTCCATGTAAGTACAACCCAGTCATGACCTCTGACCAGACCCCGATTTCCATGTAAGTACAACCCAGTCAAACCCTCTGACCAGACCCCGATTTCCATGTAAGTACAACCCAGTCATGACCTCTGACCAGACCCCGATTTCCATGTAAGTACAACCCAGTCATGACCTCTGACTCCATCTCCATGATAGTGCAACAGACTCCGACCTCACACTGCATGGAAGTTAGTTCAAGCAATTCAACAGGTCAAAGTTTTTGCTGTCTGGGTGTACCATTAAGTGAACAGCTGTGAGTTGTTCTTTTACTATCTAAATTTGCCCGTGTTCAATGAGTAGTGCAATAAGATTGAAGGTAGTGTGTGATTGGGCTGGCACAGCCCCAATAAGTGATACACTCTTCAAAAAAAGAAACGCATAAGGGATTTTGAGAATATTGGACTCCTGTAGCTGCGGCAACGGCAATACTATTTCCTTCCAGAACGTCATCTTCGTGTGATTGTAAACAGCTTCAGGGCTAAAACGCGACAATTTTACCTTTTCCCCTTGTTTTGGAAGCGTTTGAAGAAATATTCGCCAAAACGTCACCAAGAAAACATGCAAAGCAATATGAGCGTGCACATAAGCGGAAAAACATGCGGTATCGGTCACTATAAAAAGGCTAACGTTGTCTTTAATTTTGTCATTCGTTTTCACCTGGAAAAGAGAAAATCATCATGACACGACTGAGTGGCGCCAATCGAAACATCGCTGTATGTCGCCTTGAAGCTGGGGAGTCGCAGTCTGCAGTTGCCCGACATTTCAACGCTTATCAGAGCACCATATCTCGCCTTTGGCATCGTTTCCTGCAGATTAATTCCGCCCAAGAAGCGGCCGTCCACCAAAGCCCAGGACCGCTACATGCGGGTTGCTCACTGGCGGTCATCGTATGCGTCTTACCACAGCCGTGGAGACAACACAACGCATCCGTGGTTTGAGAAGAATTTACGATCAAACTGTCAGGAATCGATTGCGTAAAATGGGGATTCCACCAAGAAGGCCAATTGTTGCCACTGTTTTGAGAGACTTCCATCGGCGGAATCGCTTGCGGTGGTGTTATAGAGTCCGGAACTGGAACCTTAGAAACTGGAGGCGAGTCTGGTTCAGTGATGAATCCCAATTTCTCCTTCATCGGCGAGATGGAAGACAGCATGTTTACCGTCTGAGAAATTAACGTTTTGCCCCGAAGTGCATTCGACGGGTCGGCAGATTCGGTGGAGAGAGTGTCATGGTGTTGCGTGAAATATCCAGTACACAAAGATCTGATTTAGTGGGAAATTTGGATTTCTGGATTCAGGAAAATTTGACAGCAAATCGGTGCATCAACAAAGTCCTTGCACGTCACATGCTTCCGATTATGGACCGACAGAGAGAGTTGTTCCAGCATGACAACGCTACTTCACATACAGCACGTGTCACGGTCCGCTACATTGCCAATTCTAACGTCAATGTCTTGCCAATTCTAACATCAATGGCCTGCCCGATCACCAGATCTAAACTATGTGATGAACTCGATCGACGCGTACGTGTACGTCAACGTCAAAACAAGCCTCAGACACTTCCACAACTGTCCATCGCATTTCAGGAAGAGTAGAGAAGAATTCCGCAAGAGCGACTTTGCCGACTTATCCAATCTGTGCCGAGACGGCGCCGAGCAGTAATTGCTGAAATGGTGGCCATACAAAGTGTTGATATAGACGCCATCTTGTAGACTCAAGTAAACAGGGGCCTTATTCTCGAAACGTTCTTAGCCCTAAGAATTCTTACCTTCGATCGTAGCCAATGTGTTAAGAATGGGCTTAAGAAGTTCGTAAGGCTACGAACGTTTCGAGAATAGCTAGCAAGAAACACAACAATAAAGGCTGCTGCTGTGTTGGCGAACTCATTGTCCATAGACGTGGGAATTGTCACCTGTTTACCACTGAAATTACGTGAAATGAGTGCTCATAAACTAACGCAATAAGTTCTTAAATGGGTTATGCGTTTCCTTTTTTGAAGAATGTATATTGTATTTACATTTAGTCCTGGGTAGTTCTAGTGTGTCATCGTACACACATGGTGAAACTGGTTTGGAGGATTAGATCGTGAGATTGGTTTGGGGTTTAGATATGGTGGCATTGGTTTTGGGAATTAGATGGTGGGATTGGTTTGGGAGATTAGATGGGCTTGGGCGGTGGGCTTGGGCGGTGGGCTTGGGCGGTTGGATTGGGTGGTGGGATTGGGTAGAGGGATTGGGCGTGTGATTGGAAGGTGGGATTGGGTGTTGGGATTGGGCGGTGTGATTGGACGATGGGAGTGGGCGCTGGGATTGGGTAGTGGGATTGGGCGTGTGATTGGCTGGTGGGATTGGCTGGTGTGATTGGACGGTGGGATTGGGCGTGTGATTGGACGATGAGATTGGACGATGTGATTGGGCGGTGTGCTTGGGCGGTTGGATTGGGTGGTGGGATTGGGTAGAGGGATTGGGCTTGTGATTGGATGGTGGGATTGGGTGGTGGGATTGGGCGGTGGGATTGGGCTTCGGGATTCGGCGTGTGATTGGAAGGTGGGTTTGGGCGGTGTGATTGGGTAGTGGGATTGGGCGTGTGATTGGATGGTGGGATTGGCTGGTGTGATTGGACGGTGGGATTGGGCGTGTGATTGGACGATGAGATTGGACGAAGTGATTGGGCGGTGGGATTGGGCGGATGGATTGGGTAGTGGGATTGGGCGTGTGATTGGATGCTGGGATTGGGTGGTGGGAGTGGGCGGTGGGATTGGGTGTTGGGATTCGATGGTGGTATTGGTTTGTGGGATTTGGCGGTGGGATTGGGTGGTGTGATTGGATAGGCTGTTTGGATGGTGGGATTGGGCGGTGGGATTGGACAGATATATTAGATGGTGGTATTGTGTTGTTTGAGTGGGTGGCGGGATAGGATGGTGAGGTCAAGTGGCGGGATTGGATGGTGAGGTCAAGTGGCGTGATAGTATGGTGAGGTAAAGTGGAGGGATTGGACGGAGTGATTGGATGGTGGGATTGGATTGTGGGATTGGGTGGTGGGATTGGATGATGGGATTGGGTGGTAGGATTGGACGGAGTGATTGGATGGTGGGATTGGGTGGAGATATTATATGGTTGGATTGGGCGGTGGGATTGCATGTGTGATTGGATGATGGGATTGGGTGGTGACATTGGGCGGTGGGATGGGATGTGTGATTGGATGGTGGGATTGGGCGGTGTGATTGGATGGTGTTATTGGACCGTGTGATTTGGCGGTGGGATTGGGCATGGGATTCGATGGTGGAATTGGGTGGTGGGACTGGACGGAGATTTCAGATGGTGGGATTGGGTAGTGGGATTGGGCGGTGGGGCTGGGCGGTGGGATTGGGTGGTGGGGTTGAGCGGTGGGATTGATCGTGGGATTGGGTGGTGGGACTGGATGGTGGGATTGAGAGGAGTGATTGGATGGTGGTATTAGGCGGAGTGATTTGATGATGGGATTGGATGGTGGGACTGGATGGTGGGATTGGGCGGTGGAATTTGGCGGTGATATTAGATGGTTTGATTGGGTGGTGGGATTGGGCGGAGGGATTGGGCGGTGGGATTGGACAGAGATATTAGATTGTGGTATTGGGTGGTTTGAGTGGGTGGCGGGATTAGATGGTGAGGTCAAGTGGCGTGATTGGATGGTGAGGTCAAGTGGCGTGATTGGATGGTGAGGTCAAGTGGCGGGTGAGGTCAAGTGGCGTGATTGGATGGTGAGGTCAAGTGGCGTGATTGGATGGTGAGGTCAAGTGGCGGGATTGGATGGTGGGACTAGATAATGAGATTGGCTGCAGGACTGGTTGCATGACCGGCTGTCGTTGAGACCCTCTCATCGAAGTGGATGAGTGGTGCTGTTGACAGAATGTTTTGTTCTGCAGGCCCCTCAGCAAGCGAGAGCCAGGTTGAACGGGAAAAGAAGACAGTGGAGTGGAAGTTTGCACAGCTGGACAAAGATAACGACAAGCGACTCAAGTTTAAAGAAATACGCTCTTTCGTTCGTATGGTGAAAAAACTTATCAAACCCAAAGCATGTGCCAAGAAATTTTTGAATAATTGTGATTCAACCCCAGACCGACATATCGAGATGTCGGAGTGGACTCTGTGTCTTGGGATCGACATCAAATGTAAGTAGACTTGTACAGAGACAGCTGTCGGGTACCACCAAACATTATTTAATATATGTCATTTTCTGTTATGAATAATATTTTGGTTAAAAATAATATTTTGCCATTGAAAGTGTCTTATACTATGAAAACCTATCAACGTAAATGATGGTTAACATTCCCAGTTTGTCCTAAGATGTAATGCATGTTGCTCTGGTGTGGACTCCAAGCATTAGTTGCGCCTGTCCGCACGTGGGTAACGTGCATATCACCCCGTTTGTTTCTCTGGTCCTGCTATGAGGTACTAACACCCCAACCCCCTCAACTCGAACTGCCAACCCGAACTGCCCACCCCAACTTCTCACCCCAACCTCCCACACCAACCTCTCACACCAGCCTCTCATCCCTACCCTTGTCTCCGCCAGTATAGGCGGAACCGCCCTCCCTTCACTTCCTGCTTCCGTTCTGTGGTACTCTGCAGATAAACAAACAACAAAACACACACGCACGCACGCACGCACGCACGCACGAACGAACGAACGCACGCACGCAATATACGCACTCACTCAGAGGCACACAAATACAAGCAGAACACTCACATTTACACACGACAGACACACTATCACACGCACACGCACACGCACTCGCACACACATACGCACGCACTAACACAAACACACATCCCGACGAACACTCACAGTAACACACCTAATGACACAAGCACTCTCAGATACAGCCACATAATCAGACGTTCGCACGCACACACACACACACACGCACGCACGGACACACACACGCACACTACTGTAGAGATAAGTATACTTCTCGTGCATAGCTGCAGCACTAGCCTGGTGAGCAGGGAAAGGCATGTTAACCTTCTATACAAACTACAATAGGTGGCACCCGCCAATTGGAATCTCCTAATGCGTTGGCCGACGGTCACTACAACAAAGATGTTTAGAAATTATCGCTGTTACGTTACATTTGTATTCCACAACGGACTAGAACTGTGGAGACTAGCTATTGATGCAATATTAACCAGTGAGAAGTTCGGGCACAGTATGAAGATTGATATTATTAGAACCGAATCGTGGCGAAATAGGGCTTCTGAAATGCAGCTGACTCGTTTAGTTTCCAGGTGAGTAGAGGAATAGTACAAAAGTTGCGATGTTTTAGTCAGAAAATATGGCCGAGTCCTACCTTAAGACATGCGAAATACATATTTCTGTGTTAATGTTCGGCAACAACCAAAGAGATTCTAATTGACGTGTGACACACGTTGTCTGACCAGTTCCTGGTGGCCTGTGAGTGCAACAGTCAACCCATGGCGTGTGTATGTAGTCTTCCTCTCTTTCTAATGACGCATTGAGTTCCTGCACTGTGCGACTTCAGCATCTTTTACAATTATTACTGCCAAATCTACATCTTGATCTACTTCTAATACCATTGCAAGAACCACTAGAGCCACAATATTTCTAAGCCAAAGAAACAAACGGGTTACGTATTCAGTCACGTGACACCAAGACTGGCGGTATTCGCTCCAGCACCACTTCCTCTGGTGTTGTGTAGGCCGGTGGTACTGGAGCGGCAACTGGCGGCCTGTCATCGCAATACTGACATGGCCGCCTTAACTACTTCCGCTTCCGGTTTGGTTTTTCCGCTTCTGTACACATCTCTGTACACTTCACCAGCTTGTATTGTTGGCTCCATGTTTTATATGACAACCAGGACTTCTGTTATAAATGTTATGATGGCAACAAGAGACCACCAGAGAATGTAAGCTCGTCGTTCGAGGATCTGTAAGGTGAACGTTTTGATTTACTGATTTTAGATGAGACCATAGCTCCTGTGTTTTTGTAAGGATATGTATCACCTTTCACAGCCAGTCAATATTTTGCGGGTACTTGTTGTTAGTGAGCTGAGGACATGCCTCATGGTAATCGAGAACCCTTACAATGACGGACTGATAATTCTCCTCTACGAAGGACGCAATTAGCAATGATAGTCCACCTGACAAAGTGATTTAATTGTCTACCATCATCCAGAGGAATTAGTATGATATGTACTCAAACATCACCAGTTGTTAAACGACGAAAGTGTAAGAAATGTTATTATGTCCGTTGAACATGACGTTAGACTAATGATCAACGATAGATGTAGTCTCCGAGGGATTTCAACAATCAGCTGATCACTCGACGGATGCTACTTACAAAATCGAATATCGGCTTATGTTGTACACGCCTTTCTCTCATGTCTTTGAATGGAATGTTGTTACCAGTCAGAGGTAATCAATGTGTTTGTGTTGGTGTGAGTTGGTCTCAACATAATGCTTATTTGACAACGAAAATAGTTTGTTCCTTCGCGATGAACATGTCTGTCTCAATGAAACTAGAGTAGACTGTTCCATCCGATGAACATGTCTGTCTCAATGAAACTAGAGTAGACTGTTCCTTTCCGATGAACATGTCTGTCTCAATGAAACTAGAGTAGACTGTTCCTTCCCGATGAACATGTCTGTCTCAATGAAACTAGAGTAGACTGTTCCTTCCCGATGAACATGTCTGTCTCAATGAAACTAGAGTAGACTGAACATGTCTGTCTCAATGAAACTAGTAGACTGAACATGTCTGTCTCCTAGAGTAGACTGTTCCTTCCCGATGAACATGTCTGTCTCAATGAAACTAGAGTAGACTGTTCCTTCCCCATGAACATGTCTGTCTCAATGAAACTAGAGTAGACTGTTCCTTCCCGATGAACATGTCTGTCTCAATGAAACTAGAGTAGACTGTTCCTTCCCGATGAACATGTCTGTCTCAATGAAACTAGAGTAGACTGTTCCTTCCCGATGAACATGTCTGTCTCAATGAAACTAGAGTAGACTGTTCCTTCCCGATGAACATGTCTGTCTCAATGAAACTAGAGTAGGCTGTTCCTTTCCGATGAACATGTCTGTCTCAATGAAACTAGAGTAGACTGTTCCTTTCCGATGAACATGTCTGTCTCAATGAAACTAGAGTAGACTGTTCCTTTCCAATGAACATGTCTGTCTCAATGAAACTAGAGTAGACTGTTCCTTCCCGATGAACATGTCTGTCTCAATGAAACTAGAGTAGACTGTTCCTATCCGATGAACATGTCTGTCTCAATGAAACTAGAGTAGACTGTTCCTTTCCGATGAACATGTCTGTCTCAATGAAACTAGAATAGACTGAAGTGGTTTTTGTGAGCCTTCTGTTTCCTTTGGGTATTTTGGCGACCTTCAAGTAACAAATTGTACTGTATGGGGTTGTTTTGCGTTTTCATGCATTTTTGTGTTATAGACATGAATATCTTAGATATATTATGTTGCTATGGTTACGGTATCTGCTCCTCTCTGCCATGTCATCTGTCCTTCTGTCAGCGCTGGGCTCGGCACAGTCTGGATTCCTTCCAACACACGTCCATTTCATTCTGAACGCTTTACGTACGTTCATTATGTATTAAGTCTCTCCACATTCGAGTTGGCCAAATGCCAAAACGTAAAGTCCCCTCCATAAAGTTTTGCAGTGAACTGAGACTGGTGTTGATCTGAGACTGTGCTGGGCCTGTCCCTCTAACACTAACACCACCCTTACACCGGGAACGTGCAATACACAGACTCATGCATGAACAGAGTGGGGTACCTCCTGTTTATAGACTCTTTTCACTTGTTCATATCTCTGAACTCAGATGGGCGCACCACGGAGCCAACGGTTGCACAGAAGAAACAAGGTATAGGTCTTTTACTTTTCATTTTCCCGGCATGCAGTGCGCTGTGCCGACTTCCGGCATGTCGTTGTATCCTGTGTTTGCATGACCTACTAGCCTCTCATTATGTTCTTAATATGGAATGTTTCATGTATATTACAACGTTGTGTTTATGTATTTGTTTGAATGCCTCCTTTGCACGGAATGCACGTGCCCTACTTCCGTGATTGCCACGGACTGTTTGACGTATTCTGCCATTAGCCGCCACCCCTAACATGACGCGCTCCCACTAACAGCCCCCATTAGTTGCTGCTGTGTACAGTGTTGTCGAGACTTTGCTGAAATTATAAAACAACAAATTTTATGTGACATTCTGAGCATAATTGTCAGGGGCTGGGAAGACACGGAACAGGCACTTGTCCGTCCTGTGTACTGCGGCCAGTAGCAACATACACTGAGCCAGGAGCCTGATGGCCGCCATGACGCCAGGCGCACATGCCTCGCTACGCCGTCGTGCCTGTAGCTGATGTGCCTGTAGAGGCTTACTGTCGTCATATCCATGTCCTTTTTTTCCTTTTTGAACCACGTTTCTATTAAGTAGTGCAACGCCCAGCAAAGCATGAAAACTGAGATTTAGCGAAATCCACACTAAGCCTATTTTTTCACCCTCCAAATCCACGCCCAAACTTTCTGTCCGCTTGCGTGTTCCCTGTTTTGTCCTGCACACCTGTATGCTGCTGCTGGCGACCTCAGTCGGCCCTCACCTTGATATAGTTCTCATCGCTGGACTCGGATTAGAGAAAACGTCAGAAGATTTACGGTACAAGGTGTGCTGCAAATGTGTGCATCATAAAGGCACATAACTGAAAGACACATGCAAGTGTAAGAACCGTTAGCTTTTAGTGATCTCTCTCTATCAGTCTCTGTCGCATCACATCAGTCCACACAGAGACTAATCACCAGCTGTGTCGCATCACATCAGTCTACACATAGACTAACCACCAGCCGTGTCGCATCACATCAGTCCACACATAGACTAACCACCAACTGTGTCGCATCACATCAGTCCACACTTAGACTAACCACCAGCTGTGTCGCATAACATCAGTCCACACAGAGACTAATCACCAACTGTGTCGCATCACATCAGTCCACACAGAGACTAACTACCAGCTGTGTCACATCACATCAGTCCAAACAGAGACTAACTACCAGCTGTGTCACATCACATCAGTCCACACAGAGACTAACTACCAGCTGTGTCACATCACATCAGTCCACACAAAGACTAACTATCAGTCCACATCACATCAGTCCACTAAGACTAATCACCGACTGTGTCGCATCACATCAGTCCACACAGAGACTAATCACCAGCTGTGTCGCATCACATCAGTCCACACAAAGACTAACTACCAGCTGTGTCGCATCACATCAGTCCACACATAGACTAACCACCAGCTGCGTCACATCACATCAGTCCACACAAAGACTAATCACCAGCTGTGTCGCATCACATCAGTCCACACATAGACTAACTACCAGCTGTGTCACATCACATCACATCAGTCCAATCACCAAGACATCACATCAACTACCAGCTAACCACCAGCTGTGTCACATCACATCAGTCCACACAAAGACTAATCACCAACTGTGTTGCATCACATCAGTCCACACATAGACCAACCACCAACTGTGTCGCATCACATCAGTCCACACAGAGACTAATCACCAGCTGTGTCGCATCACATCAGTCCACACATAGTGTGTCCATCACATCCAGACATAGACTAACCACCAGCTGTATCACATCACATCAGTCCACACAGAGACTAACTACCAGCTGTGTCACATCACATCAGTCCACACAGAGACTAATCACCAACTGTGTCGCATCACATCAGTCCACACAGAGACTAACTACCAGCTGTGTCACATCACATCAGTCCACACAGAGATTAATCACCAACTGTGTCGCATTACATCAGTCCACACAGAGACTAACTACCAGCTGTGTCACATCACATCAGTCCACACATAGACTAACTACCAGCTGTGTCACATCACATCAGTCCACACAGAGACTAACTACCAGCTGTGTCACATCACATCAGTCCACACAAAGACTAACTACCAGCTGTGTCACATCACAGAAGTCCACACATGGACTAACCACCAGCTGTATCACATCACATCAGTCCACACAAAGACTAATCACCAGCTGTGTCGCATCACATCAGTCCACACATAGACTAACCACCAGCTGTGTTGCATCACATCAGTCCACACAGAGACTTATCACCAGCTGTGTCGCATCACATCAGTCCACACATAGACTAACCACCAACTGTGTCGCATCACATCAGTCCACACAGACTAACCACCAGCTGTGTCACATCACATCAGTCCACACATAGACTAAACACCAACTGTGTCGCATCACATCAGTCCACACAAAGACTAACTACCAGCTGTCACATCACATCAGTCCACACAGAGACTAATCACCAACTGTGTCGCATCACATCAGTCCACACAGAGACTAACTACTAGCTGTGTCACATCACATCAGTCCACACATAGACTAACTACCAGCTGTGTCACATCACATCAGTCCACACAGAGACTAACTACCAGCTGTGTCACATCACATCAGTCCACACAAAGACTAACTACCAGCTGTGTCACATCACATCAGTCCACACAGAGACTAATCACCGACTGTGTCGCATCACATCAGTCCACACAGAGACTAATCACCAGCTGTATCGCATCACATCAGTCCACACAAAGACTAACTACCAGCTGTGTCGCATAACATCAGTCCACACATATACTAACCACCAGCTGTGTCGCATCACATCAGTCCACACATATACTAACCACCAGCTGTGTCGCATTTCATCAGTCCACACATAGACTAATCACCAGCTGTGTCACGTCCAGCTGTCCACGCGTCCCAGCTGTGTCGCGTCCCTGGCACCTGCGCACTTGCAACCACTGCTTCCTCCACGAGACCGGCGACGACGTGGTAAGACCGTCACGGACTGCGCTGTTTGATGGGGCATACTTCCGCTTTGCTTGTTTATGCGCCTTGGCTTCACCTCTGTCGTAGCCAGCTTGTCGACCCTCCCCGATCTACGTCCTCCTTTCCTCGTTAGGCTGCATGCTGGCCACTGTGGCTCTCTTTACCATCACAAGATCATCCGTATCCGGTTTGAATTTTCTTTCTTGAAATAAGTTTCATGGATTAAAGATGGCAGTTTCATGGATTAAAGATGGCAATGAGAAACTCTTAACGTTTAGCATTGAAACACGTGACTATATAAACTGTGACCTTGACCTTCTGGGGACATCACCACTGACAGGTGCTCTACTTTCCTTTGTCCTCGCACAGACACATTCTTCCAGTCCCGACCAGTGTGGAACCCGTCTCTCACCCTCGCCAACACACCCGAGCCGAAAAAGCATCGTAAGACGCCGGAGAGAACATGTAAATCACTTTATCAATCCCGCCATTCCCAAGCCAAACGTGCGAAATATCTGCCAGAGATGCAAACAGTTTAAGATCCTTAGGATTGTGTCTCCATCAGACGAGTCAGCTTTTGATGATGCTGTTCATTCTGTGCAATAAGATGTAGGTGTAGCGTTGCCCTCTGGAAGGCGAAGGTATCACATAGGTGGTGAGCCGGGTCGTTGCTTTTAGCCCAGTTTAGTTCAACGCTTTGCTGTTTCCCTTAGCATCTCTACAAATAGTTCAAAAACCGGTTCAGAGACACGGACCCGGAGATTTGAAATGAAAGTAGTGTAAATATATGATCGCATGGCATTCTGTTCCAACGCCAAGCATATTTAAGATCCAGTTTCTTGAACCGGTTTACGTGTAGTGCGGTGAGCCTTGCCAGTTTGAGTTCCTTGAACCGGTTTCAGAGTAGTGGGTTGAGTCTGCGATTGCTTAATGGCAGAGCTTGGATGTGGTCCAGCAAGCATCATGGCGTCATCACGTGGTCCTTTACTGGATTCCTCCAGGCAGAGATAGATGACCTCCCGACAGAAATTACATGGAAGTTATATCTCCGAATTATCATTAGCAAATTTATGTGTCCAAAGATATCTTTACTTAGTAGATATTTCGAAATAAAGCAACGACCCGGCAGAGCGAGAGCGCGAGGCCCGTACACGAACCATTCAGTGACTTAGAAATGGCTGCTGCCACTTTGTCCATCATGATACATAATTTGTAATCAGACTGCTTTGTCATAATCATTTCATGATAATTGTTACATGTCTATGTCAGCTGCATTTTTCATCCGGACCCTTAAGGTGCCGATCGTTTCATTTGTTTTTGCAACCCACGACTATGTAAACGGTTCCCCATAAGGTCCTGATGGTTCTTCTCAAACCTTTCATATCCATTCGTGCAGACATATTTCATCTTATCCCAGTAGCAGAATCTCTCATCCAATTTATCTCATCACAGACACCAACAAGAGCTGCGTGGAGGAGAGAGAGGCTGCTCTGACCCAGGACAGCCAGGAGCCTAATGCCAACATCTACATCCCTCGTTGTCAGGAGGATGGGAAGTGGAGGAAAGCCCAGTGTCACGAAGCCACCCAGTACTGCTGGTGTGTGGAGGAGGCCACAGGAATGCCCATCCCGGGAACATCCACACACGCTGTGGAACCCAACTGTTCCATTAGCGAAGACAGGCCTATGAAGGGTGAGTGGATAAAGGGTGAGTTCATCTGGAGCTAGCTTCCGTTAACTTGGTGGCGGCAATGGGATTGGTAGAAGCCGAGGTACAGACAGATGATGTGATGCCAGGAGTGAGTGGCAACAGTTGGTAGGATAGTGCTGCCACCTGTACCAGTATGGCGGACATAATATGTATTTTGGCATCTATGTTCACATCCACAACACATCTTTGTAAAGATGGAGATACTGCTACACCCTGGGACGTGTTCATTTGATACGGAGGATTGCTAATGGGTGGGATAGCGGAAGCGGAGAAACTAATTCAGGGGAGAAATGAAAATTCTTCCTAGATGGGATCGGACCCTTTATGTGCAATGAAGTATAGGATTACCTGTTGTGGAAAGTATAGGATTACCTGTTGAGGGAAGTATAGGATTACCTGTTGAGGGAAGATTAGGATTACCTGTGGGGTGAAGTATAGGAATACCCATGGGTGGAAAGTACAAGATTACCTGTTGTGGAAAGTATAGGATTACCTGTTGTGGAAAGCATAGGATTACCTATTATCTGTGGAGTGAGGTATAGGTTTACCTACAACGGGAAGTACAGGATTATCTGTGGAGTGAGGTAAAGGTTTACCTTCAACGGGATACAGGATTATCTGTGGAGTGAGGTATAGGTTTACCTTCAACGGGAAGTACAGGATTATCTGTGGAGTGAGGTATAGGTTTACCTTCAACGGGAAGTACAGGATTATCTGTGGAGTGAGGTATAGGTTTACCTTCAACGGGAAGTACAGGATTATCTGTACAGGATTATCTGTGAGGTAAAGGTTTACCTTCAGGGAAGTACAGGATTATCTGTGGAGTTTTTACCTTCAACGGAAAGTACAGGATTATCTGTGGAGTGAGGTATAGGTTTACCTTCAACGGGAAGTACAGGATTATCTGTGGAGTGAGGCAAAGGTTTACCTTCAACAGGAAGGAGTACAGGGTTATCTGTGGAGTGAGGTATAGGTTTACCTTCAACGGGAAGTACAGGATTATCTGTGGAGTGAGGAATAGGTTTACCTTCAACGGGAAGTACAGGGTTATCTGTGGAGTGAGGTAAAGGATTACCTTCAACGGGAAGTACAGGATTATCTGTGGAGTGAGGTATAGGTATACCTTCAACGGGAAGTACAGGATTATCTGTGGAGTGAGGTAAAGGTTTACCTTCAACGGGAAGTACAGGGTTATCTGTGGAGTGAGGTATAGGTTTACCTTCAACGGGAAGTACAGGATTATCTGTGGAGTGAGGTATAGGTTTACCTTCAACGGGAAGTACAGTATTATCTGTGGAGTGAGGTAAAGGTTTACCTTCAACGGGAAGTACAGGGTTATCTGTGGAGTGAGGTATAGGTTTACCTTCAACGGGAAGTACAGGATTATCTGTGGAGTGAGGTATAGGTTTACCTTCAACGGGAAGTACAGAATTATCTGTGGAGTGAGGAATAGGTTTACCTTCAACGGGAAGTACAGGGTTATCTGTGGAGTGAGGTAAAGGATTACCTTCAACGGGAAGTACATTATTATCTGTGGAGTGAGGTATAGGTATACCTTCAACGGGAAGTACAGGATTATCTGTGGAGTGAGGTATAGGATTACCTTCAACGGGAAGTACAGGATTATCTGTGGAGTGAGGTATAGGTTTACCTTCAACGGGAAGTACAGGATTATCTGTGGAGTGAGGTATAGGTTTACCTTCAACGGGAAGTACAGGATTATCTGTGGAGTGAGGTATAGGTTTACCTTCAACGGGAAGTACAGGATTATCTGTGGAGTGAGGTAAAGGTTTACCATCAACAGGAAGTACAGGATTATCTGTGGAGTGAGGTATAGGTTTACCTTCAACAGGGAAGTACAGGATTATCTGTGGAGTGAAGCAAAAGTTTACCTTCAACGGGAAGTACAGGGTTATCTGTGGAGTGAGGTATAGGTTTACCTTCAACGGGAAGTACAGGATTATCTGTGGAGTGAGGTATAGGTTTACCTTCAACGGGAAGTACAGGATTATCTGTGGAGTGAGGTACAGGATTACCTTCAACAGGGAAGTACAGGATTATCTGTGGAGTGAGGTAAAGGTTTACCTTCAACGGGAAGTACAGGGTTATCTGTGGAGTGAGGTATAGGTTTACCTTCAGCGGAAGTACAGGATTATCTGTGGAGTGAGGTAAAGGTTTACCTTCAACGGGAAGTACAGGATTATCTGTGGAGTGAGGTAAAGGTTTACCTTCAACGGGAAGTACAGGATTATCTGTGGAGTGAGGTATAGGTTTACCTTCAACAGGAAGTACAGAATTATCTGTGGAGTGAGGGAATAGGTTTACCTTCAACGGGAAGTACAGGGTTATCTGTGGAGTGAGGTAAAGGATTACCTTCAACGGGAAGTACATTATTATCTGTGGAGTGAGGTATAGGTTTACCTTCAACGGGAAGTACAGGATTATCTGTGGAGTGAGGTAAAGGTTTACCTTCAACGGGAAGTACAGGGTTATCTGTGGAGTGAGGTATAGGTTTACCTTCAACGGGAAGTACAGGATTATCTGTGGAGTGAGGTAAAGGTTTACCTTCAACGGGAAGTACAGGATTATCTGTGGAGTGAGGTAAAGGTTTACCTTCAACGGGAAGTACAGGGTTATCTGTGGAGTGAGGTATAGGTTTACCTTCAACGGGAAGTACAGGATTATCTGTGGAGTGAGGTATAGGTTTACCTTCAACGGGAAGTACAGAATTATCTGTGGAGTGAGGTATAGGTTTACCTTCAACGGGAAGTACAGGGTTATCTGTGGAGTGAGGTAAAGGATTACCTTCAACGGGAAGTACATTATTATCTGTGGAGTGAGGTATAGGTATACCTTCAACGGGAAGTACAGGATTATCTGTGGAGTGAGGTATAGGATTACCTTCAACAGGGAAGTACAGGATTATCTGTGGAGAGGAGGTATAGCTTTACCTTCAACGGGAAGTACAGGATTATCTGTGGAGTGAGGTATAGGTTTACCTTCAACGGGAAGTACAGGATTATCTGTGGAGTGAGGTAAAGGTTTACCTTCAACGGGAAGTACAGGATTATCTGTGGAGTGAGGTATAGGTTTACCTTCAACGGGAAGTACAGGATTATCTGTGGAGTGAGGCAAAAGTTTACCTTCAACGGGACGTACAGGGTTATCTGTGGAGTGAGGTATAGGTTTACCTTCAACGGGAAGTACAGGATTATCTGTGGAGTGAGGAATAGGTTTACCTTCAACGGGAAGTACAGGGTTATCTGTGGAGTGAGGTAAAGGATTACCTTCAACAGGAAGTACAGGATTATCTGTGGAGTGAGGTAAAGGTTTACCTTCAACAGGAAGTACAGGGTTATCTGTGGAGTGAGGTATAGGTTTACCTTCAACAGGAAGTACAGGATTATCTGTGGAGTGAGGTAAAGGTTTACCTTCAACAGGAAGTACAGGATTATCTGTGGAGTGAGGTAAAGGTTTACCTTCAACGGGAAGTACAGCGTTATCTGTGGAGTGAGGTATAGGTTTACCTTCAACGGGAAGTACAGGATTATCTGTGGAGTGAGGTATAGGTTTACCTTCAACGGGAAGTACAGAATTATCTGTGGAGTGAGGAATAGGTTTACCTTCAACGGGAAGTACAGGGTTATCTGTGGAGTGAGGTAAAGGATTACCTTCAACGGGAAGTACAGGATTATCTGTGGAGTGAGGTATAGGTATACCTTCAACGGGGAAGTACAGGATTATCTGTGGAGTGAGGTAGAGGGATTACCTTCAACGGGAAGTACAGGATTATCTGTGGAGTGAGGTATAGGTTTACCTTCAGCGGGAAGTACAGGATTATCTGTGGAGTGAGGTATAGGTTTACCTTCAACGGGAAGTACAGGATTATCTGTGGAGTGAGGTATAGGTTTACCTTCAACGGGAAGTACAGGATTATCTGTGGAGTGAGGTATAGGTTTACCTTCAACGGGAAGTACAGGATTATCTGTGGAGTGAGGCAATAGGTTTACCTTCAACGGGAAGTACAGGGTTATCTGTGGAGTGAGGTAAAGGATTACCTTCAACGGGAAGTACATTATTATCTGTGGAGTGGGTATAGGATTACCTTCAACGGGAAGTACAGGATTATCTGTGGAGTGAGGTATAGGATTACCTTCAACGGGAAGTACAGGATTATCTGTGGAGTGAGGTATAGGTTTACCTTCAACGGGAAGTACAGGATTATCTGTGGAGTGAGGTAAAGGTTTACCTTCAACGGGAAGTACAGGATTATCTGTGGAGTGAGGTATAGGTTTACCTTCAGCGGGAAGTACAGGATTATCTGTTGGAGTGAGGTATAGGTTTACCTTCAACGGGAAGTACAGAATTTTCTGTGGAGCGAGGTAAAGGTTTACCTTCCACGGGAAGTACAGGATTATCTGTGGAGTGAGGTAAAGGTTTACCTTCCACGGGAAGTACAGGATTATCTGTGGAGTGAGGAATAGGATTACCTTCAACAGGAAGTACAGGATTATCTGTGGAGTGAGGTATAGGTTTACCTTCAAGGGGAAGTACAGAATTTTCTGCTGAGTGAGGTAAAGGTTTCCCTTCAACAGGGAAGTACATTATTATCTGTGGAGTGAGGTAAAGGTTTACCTTCAACGGGAAGTACAGCATTATCTGTCGAGTGAGGTATAGGATTACCTTCAACGGGAAGTACAGGATAATCTGTGGAGTGAGGTAAAAGTTTGCCTTCAACGGGAAGTACAGGATTATCTGTGGAGTGAGGTATAGGTTTACCTTCAACGGGAAGTACATTATTATCTGTGGAGTGAGGTATAGGTTTACCTTCAACGGGAAGTACAGGATTATCTGTGGAGTGAGGTAAAGGTTTACCTTCAGCGGGAAGTACAGGATTATCTGTGGAGTGAGGTATAGGTTTACCTTCAACGGGAAGTACAGGATTATCTGTGGAGTGAGGTAAAGGTTTACCTTCAACGGGAAGTACAGGATTATCTGTGGAGTGAGGTATAGGATTACCTTCAACGGGAAGTACAGGATTATCTGTGGAGTGAGGTATAGGTTTACCTTCAACGGGAAGTACAGGATTATCTGTGGAGTGAGGTATAGGTTTACCTTCAACGGGAAGTACAGGATTATCTGTGGAGTGAGGTATAGGTTTACCTTCAACGGGAAGTACAGGATTATCTGTGGAGTGAGGTATAGGTATACCTTCAACGGGAAGTACAGGATTATCTGTGGAGTGAGGTATAGGTTTACCTTCAACGGGAAGTACAGGATTATCTGTGGAATGAGGAATAGGTTTACCTTCAACGGAAAGTACAGGATTATCCGTGAAAGGGAAGTATAGGAGGGTAACGGATATATTTGTTTATTTGGACATGGGAATTGTGATGGGGAATTGCGATGGGGAATGGGGTGTTTAAGTTCAGAGGAGGGGAACTTTATAGTGGGAAAACGTGAAGTGTTTATACAGTAGAAGAGACTTAATTTGATGTGGATGTTGTCATAGATGTGCATGTGGTTGCAGGGTGCCCTCTGAGCCAGAAACGCCGCTTCCTTGCTGACCTGATGTCGGACTTGAGCGAGGAGAGGAGAACCCAGGGAAGCAATGCATCAGCCATAAGGTGAATTTACTATACTTCACTTAAAATAATCTCTTCAGGCGATATACTTAAGGAACCCTTACAATAGAAAGAGGGGTGCGCCTTTTCTTAGTGTACCTCTGATCTCATTCATTTGAACACATGATTACAATGTATTACTTATAAACTATCAAACAAAATGTTAGAAGTTTAAGTTGACTGGCTGAATGTTTGAGTCGTCACATCATATGCAATGTGTGAAACAAGTTTCCCTCGGTGTCATATGGCTGGAATATTCTAAAACAAAACGCCAGCAAGGCACGTAACTATACTATTTGATTAGAACTACTAGATAGACAGAATTGCCAACGAAACAAAGTAACTTGTGGCGTTGCAGGTCGCCGCTGGACCCGAAGGGACTGAACGAGATTGAGATGGTTGCTTATTGGAAGCTGATCTCGCTCGACACCAACAGCAATGGGGTGAGTTCTCACGCCAAGTGCCGCTGTGTGTATTATGGCCAACTCTGACAAATAATGCAAGAATGCATTGTATAGTTGCTGTTCCGAGATGAAACGACATCACTCACATGTTATCCTCAAAGCACACGTGTCTGCTCATCCTCTGTCTGCGACCATTCTCTTTCTGTCTCTGTCCGTCCTTTTTGTTTTTGTCTCTGTCCACCCTCTCGTTGACTCTGTCCGTCCTCTTTCTGTCTTTGCACATACTCTCCTTGTCTCTGTTCGTCCTCTTTTTGTCTCTGCCCATCCTCACTTTGTCCATCCTCTCCTTGTCTCTGACCACCCTCTTTTTTGACTCTGTCCATCCTTTTTTTTGTCTCTGTCCGTCCTCTCCTTACCTCTGGACGTCCTCTTTTTTTGTCTCTGTCCATCCTCGCCGTCTCTAGCCATCCTTTTTTGTCTTTGTCCATCTTCTTTTTGTCTCTGTCCGCCCTCTCCTTGTCTCTGTTCATCTTCTCCTTGCCTCTTTTTTTGTCTCTGTCTATCCTGTGCTTGTCTTTGGCTGTCTTTTTTCTTCTTTTTATGTTTGCCTCTTTTCATCTTCTCCTTGTCCCTGACAGTCCTCCTTTTTGCCTCAGTTCATCCTCTCTTTGTCTCTGTCCCTCTTATTTTTAGTCTCTGTCCATCCTCTCCTTGTCTCTGTCCGTCTTTTTTCTTTGCCTTTGACATCTTCTCCTTGTCTCTGTCCTTATTGTCTCTGTCCTTCCTCTCCTTGTCTCTGTTCGTCCTCTCCTTGTCTCTGTCCATCCTCTCCTTGTCTCTGTCCGTCCTCTCCACCTTGTCTCTGTCCTTCCTCTCCTCCTTGTCCTCTGTCCTTCCTCTCCTTGTCTCTGTCCTTCCTCTCCTTGTCTCTGTCCGTTCCTCTCCTTGTCTCTGTCCTCCTCTCCTTGTCTCTGTCCGTCCTCTCCTTGTGTCCTGTCCTTCCTCTCCTTGTCTCTGTCCTTCCTCTCCTTGTCTCTGTCCATTGTCTCTGTCCTTCCTCTCCTTTGTCTCTGTCCTTCCTCTCCTTGTCTCTGTCCTTCCTCTCTCCTTGTCTCTGTCCATCTCTGTCCCTTGTCTCCTGTCTCTCCTCTCTGTCTGTCCATCCTCCTTGTCTCTGTCCATCCTCTCCTTGTCTCTGTCCTTCCTCTCCTTGTCTCTGTCCTTCCCTCTCCTTGTCTCTGTCCTGTCCTCTCTCCTTGTCTCTGTCCTTCCCTCTCCTTGTCTCTGTCCATCCTCTCCTTGTCTCTGTCCATCCTCTCCTTGTCTCTGTCCTTCCTCTCCTTGTCTCTGTCCATCCTCTCTTGTCTCTGTCCTTCCTCTCCTTGTCTCTGTCCATCCTCTCCTTGTCTCTGTCCTTCCTCTCCTGTCTCTGTCCATCTCTGTCCTCTCCTTGTCTCTGTCCATTCCTCTCCTTGTCTCTGTCCTCCTCTCCTTGTCTCTCCATCCTGTCCTTGTCTCTGTCTCCTCTGTCTCTGTCCATCCTCTCCTTGTCTCTGTCCTTCCTCTCCTTGTCTCTGTCTCTTCCTCTCATTGTCTCTGTCCGTCCTCTCCTGTCTCTGTCCTTCCTCTCCTTGTCTCTGTCCATCCTCTCCTTGTCTCTGTCCTTCCTCTCCTTGTCTCTGTCCTTCCTCTCCTTGTCTCTGTCCATCCTCTCCTTGTCTCTGTCCATCCTCTCCTTGTCTCTGTCCATCCTCTCCTTGTCTCTGTTCGTCCTCTCCTTGTCTCTGTCCTTCCTCTCCTTGTCTTTGTCCGTCCTCTCCTTGTCTCTGTCCGTCCTCTCCTTGTCTCTGTCCTTCCTCTCCTTGTCTCTGTCCATCCTCTCCTTGTCTCTGTTCGTCCTTGTCTCTGTCCTTCCTCTCCTTGTCTGTGTCCTTCCTCTCTTTCTTGTCTCTGTCCTTCCTCTCCTTGTCTATGTCCTTCCTCTCTCCTTGTCTCTGTCCTTCCTCTCCTTGTCTCTGTCCGTCCTCTCCTTGTCTCTGTCCTTCCTCTCCTTGTCTCCTGTCCATCCTCCTTGTCTCTGTCCATCCTCTCCTTGTCTCTGTCCATCTTGTCTCTGTCCTTCCTCTCCTTGTCTCTGTTCGTCCTCTCCTTGTCTCTGTCCGTCCTCTTTATGTCTTACTAACGGAGTAGTTAGGGTTGTGATGAATCTATAAATAGCTTTCAAGTAGGAGATGCTGAATGTGTTTACAAGACTGTGTGGGTGAGGTTCCATCTTGCCTTTGAAAGGACGCATTGGAAGTATTTTGCTTGAACACGAGGCTCTTTATTTGTCTGACTGTCGGGGGGCGGTGGGGTAGCCTAGTGGTTAAAGTACTCGCTCATCATGCTGAAGATCCGGGTTCGATTCCCCATATGGGTACAGTGTGTGAAGCCAATTTCTGGTGTCCCCCGCCGTGGTATTGCTGGAATATTGCTAAAACGGCGTAAAACTAAACTCATTCAATATGACTTCCGGGTATGTCAGAGGTGCTGCTTCGTGGCGAGACCAGTGGTGCTACACTGGTAGTTGTGATGGGTCAGTCATACATCTAATTGACTGTTGTTAAGTGATAAATCGTAAGTGACATTTCTTGAGAGTGGGATTACTATGAGATCGCAAGTGACATTTCTGGAGAGTGGGATTACTATGAGATCGTAAGTGGCAAGCTTGAGGGTTGGGATTGCTATGAGATCGTAAGTGACATTTGTGGAGAGTGGGATTACTATGAGATCGTAAGTGACATTTATGGAGTGTGGGATTACTATGAGATTGTAAGTGACATTTCTGGAGTGTGGGATTATTATGAGATCGTAAGTGACATTTCTGGAGAGTGGGATTACTATGAGATCGTAAATAGCAATTGTGAGGGGTTGGATTACTATGAGGTCGTAAATAGCAATAATTATTGTGAGGGGTTAGATTACTATGAGGTCGTAAGTGGCAATTGTGAGGGTTGAGATTACTATGAGATTGTAAGTAGCAATTGTGAGGGTTGAGATTACTATGAGGTCGTAAGTAGCAGTTGTTAGGGGTGGCATTACTATGAGGTCGTTAGTGGCAACTGTGAGGGCTGCGATTACTATGAAATCGCAAGTAGCAATTGTGAGGAGTGGGGTTACTATGAGGTCGTAAGTGGCAGTTGTCGCGGGTGGGATTACGATAGGTAGTAAGTGGCAGTTGTGAGGGGCGGAATTACTACGAGGTCGTAAGTGGCAGTATAAGGGGTGGGATTACTATGAGATCGTAACTGGCAGTCGTCACTGATCGTTGGTGAGAATTATGAGGGGCAGGATCAGACTCATCATATGCGACTTGAATATAGTAAGTGTGCATTTCTTTATGTTATGCCATATTTAATGCAAAAAAGATGATAACATGATTTGTGGTGTTTTCCTTAATCACTGTATAATTGTTAACAGTATAATATCGAAATATGTATGATTTGACACAAGGCATTATCACACGGCCTTGAAGTGATGTGGCGTCAAACGTCAGTTCACAAATTCAGTATCGTGTGTGTCCACCATTGGCGTTGATGCAGGCTTGACAACGACAATGCGTAGACGACACTAAGCGATAGAAGAAAGCTTGGGGAATGATGTTCCATGTCTGAACCAACGCTTCTCCCAATTCAGCTAACGTCAATGGCTGATCTGGGGATTGACGTAAACGTCTCTCCATTTCATCCCAAGCATGCTCGATAAGGAACAGGTCCGGAGAAACAGCTGGCCAGGGGAGTACCGGAATGTTGCTGTCTCAGGAAATCTTTCACAACACGAGCGACATGTGGACGGGCATTATCTTGCTGAAGCCTGAAGTTATGTCTCTGTCTTTGAAAGAACGGCTGCACATGAGGCCCAAAGATTTTATCCCTGTATCGCAGACCTGTCAGATTGCCATTGACAATGGCAAGTCGTATCCGACCATGAGGTATGATGCTTCCCCATATCATAAACTGTCGATGTTAAACAACGCACGCGTCAGCATACTGTTCACCTCGCCGTCTGTAAACCTTGCCCTGCTATCTGCAGTCAAGCAAGCTGTCCAGATGAAATGAACACAACACCATCCTAATCTTGTCTCCTTACCGCAGATGCTATCTGAGCCAGGCAAGACGTCAATGTCGGGGACGTTGGAGCAAAACTCCGGGGCCGGATGGGCGGGGCCGGATGTTGTGCTCCCTCCCTCGGTTCTAGGAACTGATTGGACGTTAGCCAGGACTGGTCAGCGCAGTCAAACTGGCAGTCTGGAATCGATTCCTAAGCTGGGACAGCCGAATGTGGCTGTCTTGCTGACGTGACGTGACGTGTGGACGGCCGGTCCATGGCAAATCTCTCGTGTTCCCATTATGTTCGAAACGTCTCCATAGAGATGAGATCGTGTTTCAGTTTACACCAAAATGTCTGGCCACTACATTTTGGGCCATTCCAGTCTCCAGCATACCCACGGCGCATGACATACGCACAGTTTAGGTTGAAATTAATGTATTTTCCACAACATTTAGAGGCTACAGGATAATCAACCGTTCTTCAATTTTCAATATCAGGTGTGTGAACTTCAGGTGTCAAAAAGCATGCAAAACGTGACTAAATTCATAGTTCCATGCGCGATACGTGACATCAAATTTCATGTAAAGTGCTACATGTGTATTTAGGGTTATTGTTATGCCTGTACTTGTTTCTGCTAGAATATCAATGATAATAATGCTGTCTTAACAGAAAGTAAGTTTTTCAATCTCAATCGGAAGGATCTTGACTTCTCCAAAGGCAAGTCTGAGGCCAAGGACAACTGCCAACAATTCAACTACAAGCTACCAACGGAGCTTCACGACATAATTGCAGCAACTACCTAGCTAGACTTCCCATCCAGGGGCAATATGAGACTTAGCATGTCCCTGGGTTATATACTGGGCCAAGAAAGGACAATTGGTGTTTCCTAATACAAGACGACTGAACTCATATAACTCATTAAGTGCATCTGTATTCATAGATCTCCAGAGAAATCTACGGTTAGGTCTGTCCTCTGGTGAGATTTTGATCTGCAAGAACATCTGTGCTTTATCACAGGGCAATCTGAACCGTATCAGTACATCAACGAGTTCACTATGAAGCTTCGGACCTGGACTAATGACATCATTCAGTGATGTGTCTTGAAGCATTAAAAGCTATACGGTCTTTTGTTGTGGCTTTATCTGGGCGCAAACTTGGGAATTGAGGAAGATGCCAGACATCTACCCCTAAGTCCTCCCGATCTACTTTACAGATATAACTTCTGTCAACGTGTTGCCAAATGATTTTGTCATAAGCTTACGACATGTCATATCAGTGCATCCTACGACATGTCATATCAGTGCAGCCTACGACATACAGCTAATCGAACTGTTTTCGAACTCCGGACACTGCCTGCGTCATATTATGACGTCATACGATTGTTAGCGATACCGCTTCTCGGCGGAGAGTTTGGCGGATACCGTGGCAGCGGGTAATATTATTTTTAGTTGTCACCCTCCTGGGAGGGGGTGACACGGAAACGCGTCATTGACCAATGAAATTAAAGTATTTTACATGAAGGTAAGATAATTGAGTTTAACACCTCAAATGTTAGACTACGTCTAAAACTCGGAAGCGGGTTATATCCAATCAGGGATATGACTTGGTCTTCATTTGAGTGGGCGAGATATTTACTGGAAATTATGTCATCTCCACGTCATCAGAAGTATCGTTAACCAGAAGTGACGTCATTAGGTCGCCCTTGTGACGTCATCAGATGCCCCTCGCGCATCCTTCCCCAGGACTCCCAGAGTGCCTTCCTTGGGTCCCCTTGGAAAATTATGAGGTTCCCGCGATTACGTCAGGGAAGATAACTCCTACGGATACTTCTTGGAAAGACCACTAGGAAGAAAGACAACAAGAGACCATGGTCAAATATTCAGGCTAAATCTGTGGATCAGAAACAAGTTTCAGAAAGTAAGACAATCAAGTGTTAGGGCAGTTTTCTAAGAATTATTAGCGTTGTTGATAATACTCCAATATCTTCCAGACGATGGAAGAAATTTCTAATTAAAAAATCCTGACTTAAGAGCTGTGGACGTTTTGTCCCTCAGCGATATTTCAAGTGACGATGTTAAGTTGTCCAACGCTGCTGTCAGATACAGAACATGAAAAGAACAAGATCCACAAAACAACGTACACGCTGTTAAGATGCGGGTGAATTCGGCGAGCTGACCGAATAAATTCCAGCTATTTCCTTCTGTTCAAGAGGCGGAGGGGTAGCCTAGTGGTTAAAGCGTTAGCTCGTCATGCCGAAGACACTGGTTCGATTCCTCACATGGGTACAATGTGTGAAGCCCGTTTCTGGTGTCCCCAACCGTGACATTGCTGGAATATTGCTAAAACGGCGTAAAACTAAGCTCACTCACTCCTTGTGTTCAACAATTATCTGCCGGTAATGGTTTCCAGGTCTTTACTTGTCTGCCAGCAGTTGTCTGTCGATAATACACTCTTAAAAAAAGAAATGCACAGGCGTTTTCAGCAGTTCATTTCGATTTTGACAGCAAACGTCATTAAGACAATTCCTATGTTTGGATCCCTTTAATCATATCGTGGTTGACAACAGTTGTCCGTTGGTAACTGTTTCCAGGTCTTTACTTGCCTGACAACGGTTGTCTGCCGATAATTGATTCCAGGTATTTACTTGCCTGACAACGGTTGTCTGCCGATAATTGATTCCAGGTATTTACTTGCCTGACAACGGTTGTCTGCCGGTAATTGTTTCCAGGGATTACTTGCCTGACAACGGTTGTCCGTTGGTAACTGTTTCAAGGTCTTACTTGCCTGACAACGGTTGTCTGCCGATAATTGATTCCAGGTATTTACTTGCCTGACAACGGTTGTCTGCCTGTAATTGTTTCCAGGGATTACTTGCCTGACAACGGTTGTCCGTTGGTAACTGTTTCAAGGTCTTACTTGCCTGACAACGGTTGTCTGCCGATAATTGATTCCAGGGCCTAGATTTTCGAAGCTCTCTTAGCGCTAAGATAGTCGTAAGGTAATGTTAATGTATGGCACTTACGACTATCTTAGCTCTAAAAGCTTCAGGTCTTCAGCTTGTCAACAGTGGTATGCCATTTACCTTTTCTAGGTCTTTACTTGTCAACAACAGTATGCCATTTACTGTTTCTAGGTCTTTACTTGCCCGGCAACAGTTGCATGCCATTTACTGTTTGCAGGTCTTTACTTGCCCGACAACAGTTGCATGCCATTTACTGTTTCCAGGTCTTTACTTGCCCGACAACAGTTGCATGCCATTTACTGTTTCCAGGTCTTTACTTGCCCGACAACAGTTGCATGCCATTTACTGTTTCCAGGTCTTTACTTGCCCGACAACGGTTGTCAACCGCCTCCGTGGTGTAGTGGTTAGAGCGTCCGCCCGGAGAGCAGAAGGTCGCGAGTTCGATCCCCGACCGCGTCATACCAAAAAACGTTAAAATATGGTACTTGTTGGTCCCTACCTGGCGCTCGGCATTAATGGGTACAACAAGGACTGGTCGGCTCGGAGTCAGTATAATGTGTCTGAGTGGGGTATTCATGCTTCACTGCGGCATGGTATCTCAGTGGGCTAGCACAATAAAACCTGCTTCAGTCTGGGCTTTAGACTAAGGCTTAGTCTCTGAATATATATAATTTTGATAGTAACAAACAAGCCCTTTTATATTGAAAAGGAGCCCTAGGGAGACAAGAGATTCAGAACTGAACCTGAGGAAATCTAGACTTGCTTTTTTTAGTGCTTTAGAGAGGGCTTGGCAGTAGGGAAATTAATGTGGTTCAGGGACTGTGAGACAGACTATCTGGGCTAGTACAAGCAGCCACACATACACATACACAAGCATGCACGTCGTCATATGAGCGAAATATTCTCAAGCACGACGTAAAACCCAATTTCACCTCACCTCACCTCACAACAGTTGCATGCCATTTACTGTTTCGAGGTCTTACTTGCCTGACAACGGTTGTCTGCCATTTACTGTTTCCAGGTCTTTACTTGCCCGACAACAGTTGTATGCCGTTTAATGTTTCCAGGTGTTTACTTGAATAACACCAGTTGTCTGCTGCTTATTGCTTCCCTTATCTCCGCTTTTGTCATTCCTGAGTTTAGAACTCAGACTGAGACAGAACCAAGTACCGTTTTCTGAAGATGTTAAGACTGGTAGTGATGCAATGCGCTGATTGACATGTTCATTAACGTATAACCGCACGGGAAGCTTCTCGCCTAATGCCATGTTCTGACACCTTAATAGATGAATATAAATTTGTTTCATTCGTTCCTTGTTTCAGATACTTGAGAGGAAAGAATGGAAAAAACTGCGGAAAACTAACTTGAAAAATAAGAAATATCCTCGCAAGTGCCGGCGAAATTTTCTCCGCTATTGTGACGCGAACAGCGATCAACGGGTTGAATTCGACGAGTGGAAAGACTGTCTTGGTCTTAACAGAAAGGGTAACTCATCCGACACTACTCAGTTTGCGTGAAATTGTTTCGACAGTCAGCAGGGTTTTTTTAATTATTGTATTTAAGTATTTAGTCTTCACCAATATTATTTACTATTTTACGAAATATATTTTATGTAACGCTTTCTTACCTACCTCGCTTTATGCTGGTTATAGTTTGTAAGTGATGTCGCCAGCCCATTTTTTGTGGCTGTAGGGTTGTGTGGGCACAAATCATTCTCCTTCTGAGATACAATAATAGGCCCCCTTGCAGCAAGAACTGAATTTGAAATACTGATATTTGCCATTATCTCAAATCATGGATGGTCCCAGCCTGTTTGACAGACTCAATTCACCATTCAGGAACCTGCCATCTGTTGATCTGACACTTCTTCCTGGTCCAATTGTCAGCCTCAAATCCTAAGCACAAATGTCCTTTCACACTTTTACCCCTTCCTTATTGATAAATTTACCCCCTTCCGTGAACCCCTCTGCCCTCTTCCCGTGGATCCCTCTACCGCCTTCCCATGGATCCCTCTACCGCCTTCCCATGGGTCACTCTACCCTCTACCCATGGATCACTCTACCGCCTTCCCATGGATCACTCTACCCCCTTTCCATAGATCTCTCTACCCTCTTCCCGTGGATCACTCTACCCTCTTCCAATGGGTCACTCTACCCTCTTCCCGTGGATCACTCTACCCTCTTCCCGTGGATCCCTCCACCCCCTTCCAATGGGTCACTCTACCCTCTTCCCGTAGATCACTCTACCCCCTTCCCATAGATCACTCTACCCTCTTCCCATGGATCACTCTACCCTCTTCCCATGGATCACTCTACCCTCTTCCCGTGGATCACTCTACCCCCTTCCCATGGATCACTCTACCCTCTTCCCATGGATCACTCTACCCTCTTCCCATGGATCACTCTTCCCTCTACCCATGGATCACTCTACCCCCTTCCCATGGATCACTCTACCCTCTTCTCGTGGATCACTCTACCCTCTTCTCGTGGAGCCTCTACCCTCTTCCCGTGGATCCCTGTGTTCTCTTCCCGTGGATCCCCCTACCCACTTCCCATGAAACACTTTGCCCCACTCCGATGGATCCCTCTATCTAAAAGCATTGTGTATTCATAGCTTCTGCAAGAGGGGTACGTGATCAGGGGATTACCAGGCGTCATTCTTCCATTTTCGTGGAAGTACGGTGGCTGAGTGGGTTAGATGTACTAGAATCTGTACTGTACATAGAGCTCAGGACATAATCAGGTGAACTTAAGCAACGTTGGGCGCGGACAGTGCTCGGATGGGTGACCGTGTTTCGCAACTTGACTCCTGAGAGTTTCTAATTTCTTCAGTCCTGCCCAACAACGAAGCACATGAGACATGTGGTCTCGACTTAGGCAAGTGAGTTTGTTCAAAATTGCCTCTGTTCACCCAGCAGAAAATGGGTACCCGCTGGGATAAGTCATGTAACCACTAACCTAGCGCCTCACAGGCAGCTTGGGTTATCTGGGGTAATAATCCGATTGTTTGGGCGCTTCGAGCATGGATTGTGCATGGAGAAATGCGCGTGATAAATGGACTATTATTATCAGTATGTTTTACAGATTAAGATGAAAATGCAGCAGAGAGGGTTCGGGTTATCCTGGCACAGTCAGGCTGGTAAGGCTCATCATCAGCTTAGGGCCCTTACCCCCCTCTACACGCAGCCCAGACAGCGAATGGGACTTCTCCCAGGAAACACTACATATTCTCCGGAAAGTTCTTGGTGGGTTCGACTAGGCAGACTCCCCAACACTGCAGCCTTCTGCATTACCCAGAGTGTCGGAAGGGCTGTGCTCCTGGTGGTGAACCCAGACACTCTCCTGATCTGCTCCAAGAGATCAGGAGGTACCAAACCGGGGAGTCAGACGACCTTGTACTTGGGATGCAAGCGAGACATTGCAAAGGCGTGGTCCGCATAGAATGCTTTTCTTGAATTTTGCCAGTCATGTTGCTGTCAAAGGGACAGAAAATTCAATGATATAAAAGAATTCATTAGCTTTATCAAAAAAGGACAAGATCAGGTCTGTTGGCTGGAATTCTTCTGACGCTGTATATGGGCCTATTCCACAGATGTTTGAAAGCATCATTTTCCATGATGCCCTGGACATGTTCAGGGTCGTACCATGGATGGACCTCAGAGTCAAAGCCACAGGCATGGCAGAGACGGTAGTAAAGCAACGAGCCATGTCATTATGTATTTTAAGATTTGTTGTTTGTGCCAAGGGAGGGCATCCACTGACAAGGTGTTGGACAGTCTCTGTAAATTCATTGCAAAATCGACATTTCATATTGATATTTTTTTTAAGAATCACATCGTGGCGATTGCGAGTTGGAAGTGACTTGTCCTGGGCAACAAAAAAAAAGCCCTCAGTTTCACATATAAGACCAGCCGACTTCCTCCTGGCGAAGGAGTCGGTTGGATTGCTATTCTGTTCCACACACTGCATGCACACACGATGCAGTGGTTTCCCAGAAAGCTTCTCCACAAATGACCGACTCTGGGCAGACTTGGTGAATGGATTCACCTGGTTTACTCCCATCGCTGTACCGTCCAGCAGTACATCGCCATCAACAAAATCAACCTCAAATTTCAGATTCTGTCCAACAACCTTGGCACGCTTAAAATAGCTGTGGAATTCCTTGCTTTCATCATGAGTTTTGAAATGCATCACCGGAGGATCATCCGATAAATAATTATGTTTTACAGATTAAGATGGAATATGCATAGCCATTATTATTATTATTTTTATTATTATTATTATTATTATTATCATTATGAAACAATGTTAACTGACCCCAGCACTTGTGGGGACCTGGGTTTTATCCTGACATAGTAGAGATAGCAATTTATTGCAACATAAATTATGAATAAATATGTCATTGTCCTAAACTTGTCTTTGTACTTGTGATGATTTGTGTTTTTTTGGGAAGGAGCATTGTGCGACCCTTTGCAGAACCATGGAGGAACATCATCGACATGTTTTCTGTTCCAGATAATTATAACGCGTTGCCCGGGTTGGACCGTCGCGGGAAGAAAAACCCTTTTAGTAAGTACCTCCACGATCGATGATGTGACCGTTGTATACATCCTGGTAGTGTTCATCCGGGTACTGACTTCACTCCCAGACACCCCAGCGCACTGACCCAAGCGGAAGCGGAAGTACACACATACTGTTTGGTAGCTGTAAATACGATACTGGACCTTCTGGTTGTGAGTGGGTATCTTGCCGAACTATCTTGAACTAACCCTTTTAGTAAGAGATACCTCCACGATCGATGATGTGACCGTTGTATACATCCTGGTAGTGTTCATCCGGGTACTGACTTCACTCCCAGACACCCCAGCGCACTGACCCAAGCGGAAGCGGAAGTACACACATACTGTTTGGTAGCTGTAAATACGATACTGGACCTTCTGGTTGTGAGTGGGTATCTTGCCGAACTATCCTGAACTATGATCCATCTGACTGAACCGTGATCTGTACCTCTGAATGACTGCCATAACAGATGCCATGTAATTAGTTCCGACGCTGGTACTGCTCGTCCAATGCCAGGCTGCAGTTCTGGATGTGCGTCAGTGTTTAGCTAGTGGTGCAGACGCACCTTAGGCATGTACATAACCTGTATGTAATTTATAGAGTGTATATAACTTATTTCATTGTAGATTGTATTTTTTGTTGCATTGTCAATAGGGGCCCCTGCTGGGAGTTCCCATAAGGTTTATTTATTGCACAAGATTTCGCCGACATGCGCGTTACTCTGCAAGTGCATCGTGTTGCCTGCTGTATCACAAAGATGAGGTGGGACGCCGTCCCGGCTGCCGCTCCTTCTCCCCTTGCTACCACCCGCCTCGACCCTTGCTCCTGCATGACCTCTCACCTCTGCATGACCTTTCACCCGTGCATGAAACTCCACAGAAATTCATTGTGGTTTAGCTCCCCTTGACGACCTCCTTCTCCGGGCAAGCCTCACTTTCGTTTCTGTCAACATCCCCGTCTTTTCCTCTGTTTTCATTTTCGACGAATGAAACTCAAAACTTCTAATCTTCAGCTACGATAGCAAAACAATATATTCATTCTTTTTAATAAATTGCAACTATTTTTTCTAAATTTAATAGCATTTCGAAAAAAGCGCCAGTCTCTCAATGATATAGAGAAAAGTATACTTACTCTGCCCCTCTCTTTTCAGTGGATCAGTTGACATGAGGGCTTGCCCGGAGACTACCCGCTATTACCGGTCCGAGCGGTGCGCATGTGCAGTAGCTGACACTTGGTGCTTGCATCATTATATGAGACCTTGGCAATATTGTGTGACAGTGTGGCGTATTGTGGAGCTCGGGGCCTCTGTTTACAAGGCGACAGTGAAATGTCCTGTGATAGGGCGTGACAAACAAGACTTGTTGATGTATGGGCAGGTGCTTAGAAGGTGCTCATGACCCAGGCCTTACAGCGATACTGCTGCTGCTGCAGTAGAGACATGTGTACATGGCCGCCATCATACATATGTCATACAGCCGGGACATCGGGGGGTTGTCACCAACTTGCAACGATGGTGATGACTATTACAACAATGATGTCTGCACCGACGCCAACTGCCTCCACAACAAGAAGAAACAAGACTGCCGATCGTGCGCTTTTTTATTGTTAAAATTACTGTTTGGCCCTGTGTGAAATCCATGTCCACGTGTGTTATGTTGGTTTCCGAACCATTCAGAAATATTCATTATCTTAAAAAATGTTTTCGTATAGAACTGTCTGTCAGTGACCTATGTACAAACACTACTCAATGAAGATGTTGTTACTCAAAGATCATAAATACTTTGTATTTCCTGTGAGATGTGTCACAGTGACATAAATAACGTTGAATTTAATCGATACCCGTATGAAGACGACAGACATGTCGCTTTGTCCATACAGCAGCATATGTATGGTAACGACACAAATGTGTGTCTTTGTCCGTTTACCAGTATATGCATGACTGACTGTTGATCTTATTGGCACCGTACACCAATACCACCAAGACGTGTTTTGAATATCCTGGAATGGAATAGCCAATGAACGTAAAATATTTTGAGTTTAAAATCTTAAATGTTATATCTTATTGTGATGATTACATCTAACGGTTAGTTTGCCCAGTGGGTTTCGAGTTCATGTCCGAAATCTGCCTGCGGCAGATGACCCGTGCTGACAAGACACTTCCCAAACCCTGTCGTCACCCACCTACACACTGCAGCCACGGGTAAAACATTGGCCTATTGCGCTTACCAAGTTATTGCTTCATGAGATTGCTTTGAAATGTTTATCTATATCTGTCCAGGCAATCTGTGTCACCTTTAAAGTAATAGTAATTGTATTTCTGTCATGAAGGACACATTTGCTTTTTTCTGTATATCAAGCGATTCCTGAATAGCGATTGACCACTTTGTATTTGTCAATTGTACGTGTGATTAAACTGACACTGTCTAGAGAACGTATGATCACGTTGTATCTGTCAACTGAACGTGTCATCGCATTGTAGCTGCCGATTCAACTTGTGATTACATTGGAACTATCCACTTAAGGTATGATTACATGTGATCACACAGTAACTGTCAGCTTAACACACGAACACCTGCAGACTGTTCCCTTAACGTGTGATCACACAGTAACTGTCAACTTAATACACGAACACCTGCAGACTGTTCCCTTAACGTGTGATCACACAGTAACTGTCAACTTAATACACGAACACCTGCAGACTGTTCCCTTAACGTGTGATCACACAGTAACTGTCAACTTAATACACGAACACCTGCAGACTGTTCCCTTAACGTGTGATCACACAGTAACTGTCAACTTAATACATGAACACCTGGTAACTGTTCCCTTAACATGTGATCACACAGTAACTGTCAACTTAACACACGAACACCTGGTAACTGTTCCCTTAACGTGTGATCACACAGTAACTGTCAACTTAATACACGAACACCTGGTAACTGTTCCCTTAACATGTGATCACACAGTAACTGTCAACTTAATACACCTGGTAACACCTTAATACGGAACTGTTAACTGTTCCTTAACATGTGATCACACAGTAACTGTCAACTTAATACACGAACACCTGGTAACTGTTCCTTAACATGTGATCACACAGTAACTGTCAACTTAACACACGAACACCTGGTAACTGTTCCCTTAACGTGTGATCACACAGTAACTGTCAACTTAACACTGTGAACACCTGGTAACTGTCCCCTGAACTTGTGATCACACAGTAACTGTCAATTTAATACATGAACACCTGGTCACTGTCCCCTTAACATGTGATCACACAGTAACTGTCTACTTAACACACGAACACCTGGTAACTGTTCCCTTAACATGTGATCACACAGTAACTGTCAACTTAACACATGAACACCTGGTAACTGTCCCTGAACTTGTGATCACACAGTAACTGTCAATTTAATACATGAACACCTGGTAACTGTCCCCTTAACATGTGATCACACAGTAACTGTCAACTTAACACACGAACACCTGGTAACTGTCCCCTTAACATGTGATCACACAGTAACTGTCAACTTAATACACGATCAGCTGGAGACTGTTCCCTTAACATGTGATCACACAGTAACTGTCAACTTAATACATGAGGACCTGGTAACTGTCCCCTTAACATGTGATCACACAGTAACTGTCAACTTAACACACGAATACCTGATAACTGTCCCTTAACATGTGATCGCACAGTAACTGTCAACTTAATACACGATCAGCTGGAGACTGTTCCCTTAATATGTGATCACACAGTAACTGTCAACTTAACACACGAACACCTGGTAACTGTTCCCTTAACGTGTGATCACACAGTAACTGTCAGCTTCATGCATGAACACCTGCAGACTGTTCCCTTAACTTGTGATCACACAGTAACTGTCAACTTAATACACGAACACCTGCAGACTGTTCCCTTAATGTGTGATCGCACAGTAACTGTCAACTTAATACATGAACACCTGGTAACTGTTCCCTTAACATGTGATCACACAGTAACTGTCAACTTAACACACGAACACCTGGTAACTGTCCCCTTAACATGTGATCACACAGTAACTGTCAACTTAATATATGAACACCTGGTAACTGTCCCCTTAACGTGTGATCACACAGTAACTGTCAACTTAATACATGAACACCTGGTCACTGTCCCCTTAACATGTGATCACACAGTAACTGTCTACTTAACACACGAACACCTGGTAACTGTTCCTTAACATGTGATCACACAGTAACTGTCAACTTAATACATGAACACCTGGTAACTGTCCCCTTAACATGTGATCACACAGTAACTGTCAACTTAATACATGAACACCTGGTAACTGTCCCCTTAACATGTGATCACACAGTAACTGTCAACTTAACACACGAACACCTGGTAACTGTCCCCTTAACATGTGATCACACAGTAACTGTCAACTTAACACACGAACACCTGCAGACTGTTCCCTTAATATGTGATCACACAGTAACTGTCAACTTAATACATGAAGACCTGGTAACTGTCCCCTTAACATGTGATCACACAGTAACTGTCAACTTAATACATGAACACCTGGTAACTGTTCCCTTAACATGTGATCACACAGTAACTGTCAACTTAATACATGAACACCTGGTAACTGTCCCCTTAACGTGTGATCACACAGTAACTGTCAACTTAATACATGAACACCTGGTAACTGTCCCCTTAACATGTGATCACACAGTAACTGTCAACTTAATACATGAACACCTGGTAACTGTTCCCTTAACGTGTGATCACACAGTAACTGTCAACTTAATACATGAACACCTGGTAACTGTCCCCTTAACGTGTGATCACACAGTAACTGTCAGCTTCATGCATGAACACCTGCAGACTGTTCCTTAACATGTGATCAGATTGCAGCTACCAAATGAATTTCTGACCACATTAAAACTCATTCTGTCAGTGGCGAATATGTTGTATCCTTCTATATGTCAAACGCACGAGCCCGATTGGGATACGTGATTGTCACGAGCCTCCAGTCTTTGTGAATTGGAGTGGAGAAGCGATTTTTGTTGTTGAAATCTGAATAAAATATAAACTTTTTCGTGTGTTTTTTTATTTTAAGCAGCGCCAAGATCTGAAAATCTGAAACCTGCAAGAAAAGATTGAAGTAATTAGGAAACAGACATACACACAGGCCAAGATGGTCAGTAGATCAGCAGGGTGAGAGCGTGCGTCAGTAGATCAGCAGGGTGAGAGCGTGCGTCAGTAGATCAGCAGGGTGAGAGCGTGCGTCAGTAGATCAGCAGGGTGAGAGTGTGCGTCAGTAGATCAGCAGGGTGAGAGTGTGTGTCAGTAGATCAGCAGGGTGAGAGTGTGTGTCAGTAGATCAGCAGGGTGAGAGTGTGCGTCAGTAGATCAGCAGGGTGAGAGTGTGTGTCAGTAGATCAGCAGGGTGAGAGTGTGCGTCAGTAGATCAGCAGGGTGAGAGTGTGCGTCAGTAGATCAGCAGGGTGAGAGCGTGCGTCAGTAGATCAGCAGGGTGAGAGTGTGTGTCAGTAGATCAGCAGGGTGAGAGTGTGTGTCAGTAGATCAGCAGGGTGAGAGTGTGCGTCAGTAGATCAGCAGGGTGAGAGTGTGCGTCAGTAGATCAGCAGGGTGACAGTGTGCGTCAGTAGATCAGCAGGGTGAGAGCGTGCGTCAGTAGATCAGCAGGGTGAGAGTGCGTGGCAGTAGATCAGCAGGGGTGAGAGTGTGTGGCAGGGTAGATCAGCAGGGTGAGAGCGTGCGTCAGTAGATCAGCAGGGTGAGAGTGTGTGGCAGTAGATCAGCAGGGTGAGAGTGTGTGTCAGTAGATCAGCAGGGTGAGTGAGGTGCGTCAGTAGATCAGCAGGGTGAGAGTGTGCGTCAGTAGATCAGCAGGGTGAGGTGTGCGTCGGTGGAGTGCGCGTCAGTAGATCAGCAGGGTGAGAGTGTGCGGCAGTAGATCAGCAGGGTGAGGTGTGTGGCAGTAGATCAGCAGGGTGAGAGTGTGCGTCAGTAGATCAGCAGGGGTGAGGTGTGCGTCAGTAGATCAGCAGGGTGAGAGTGTGCGTCAGTAGATCAGCAGGGGTGAGAGTGTGCGTCAGTAGATCAGCAGGGTGAGATCAGTGTGTGGCAGTAGATCAGCAGGGTGAGAGTGTGTGGCAGTAGATCAGCAGGGTGAGAGTGTGCGTCAGTAGATCAGCAGGGTGAGAGCGTGCGTCAGTAGATCAGCAGGGTGAGAGTGTGTGGCAGTAGATCAGCAGGGGTGAGAGTGTGTGTCAGTAGATCAGCAGGGGTGAGAGTGTGCGTCAGTAGATCAGCAGGGTGATGAGTGTGCGTCAGTAGATCAGCAGGGTGAGAGTGTGTGGCAGTAGATCAGCAGGGTGAGAGTGTGTGGCAGTAGATCAGCAGGGTGACAGTGTGTGGCAGTAGATCAGCAGGGTGAGAGTGTGTGGCAGTAGATCAGCAGGGTGAGAGTGTGTGTCAGTAGATCAGCAGGGTGAGAGTGTGTGCGTCACTAGATCAGCAGGGTGAGAGCGTGCGTCAGTAGATCAGCAGGGTGAGAGTGTGTGGCAGTAGATCAGCAGGGTGACAGTGTGTGGCAGTAGATCAGCAGGGTGACAGTGTGTGTCAGTAGATCAGCAGGGTGACAGTGTGTGGCAGTAGATCAGCAGGGGTGAGAGTGTGTGGCAGTAGATCAGCAGGGGGTGAGAGTGTGTGGCAGTAGATCAGCAGGGTGAGAGTGTGTGTCAGTAGATCAGCAGGGTGAGAGTGTGCGTCACTAGATCAGCAGGGTGAGAGCGTGCGTCAGTAGATCAGCAGGGTGAGAGTGTGTGGCAGTAGATCAGCAGGGTGACAGTGTGTGGCAGTAGATCAGCAGGGTGACAGTGTGTGGCAGTAGATCAGCAGGTTGACAGTGTGTGGCAGTAGATCAGCAGGGTGACAGTGTGTGGCAGTAGATCAGCAGGGTGAGAGTGTGTGTCAGTAGATCAGCAGGGGTGAGAGTGTGTGTCAGTAGATCAGCAGGGGTGAGAGTGTGTGGCAGTAGATCAGCAGGGTGACAGTGTGTGTCCAGTAGATCAGCAGGGTGAGAGTGTGTGGCAGTAGATCAGCAGGGTGACAGTGTGTGGCAGTAGATCAGCAGGGTGAGAGTGTGTGGCAGTAGATCAGCAGGGTGAGAGTGTGTGTCAGTAGATCAGCAGGGTGAGAGTGTGTGTGTCAGTAGATCAGCAGGGTGAGAGTGTGTGTCAGTAGATCAGCAGGGGTGACAGTGTGTGTCAGTAGATCAGCAGGGTGAGAGTGTGTGTCAGTAGATCAGCTAGGTGAGAGTGTGTGTCAGTAGATCAGCAGGGTGACAGTGTGTGGCAGTAAATCAGCAGGGGTGAGAATGTGTGGCAGTAGATCAGCAGGGTGAGAGTGTGTGTCAGTAGATCAGCAGGGTGAGAGTGTGTGGCAGTAGATCAGCAGGGGTGAGAGTGTGTGGCAGTAGATCAGCAGGGTGACAGTGTGCGTCAGTAGATCAGCAGGGTGAGAGTGTGTGTCAGTAGATCAGCAGGGTGACAGTGTGCGTCAGTAGATCAGCAGGGTGAGAGTGTGTGTCAGTAGATCAGCAGGGTGAGAGTGTGTGTCAGTAGATCAGCAGGGTGACAGTGTGCGTCAGTAGATCAGCAGGGTGAGAGTGTGTGTCAGTAGATCAGCAGGGTGAGAGTGTGCGTCAGTAGATCAGCAGGGTGAGAGTGTGTGTCAGTAGATCAGCAGGGTGACAGTGTGCGTCAGTAGATCAGCAGGGTGAGAGTGTGTGGCGTGTTTATCAAGGAGATGTAAATGAGCCCTATGTTTATCAGTCGTCTGAGATTTGTTAATGAGGATCTAGTTTATGCACGGGTTGTGTTGGAAGGGCTGCCAAATTGGTGTGCTCTGCAGCTGGATGTTAAGCACTTCGTTTGCAAGCGGCTATGTACAGGAAGAAGAATGTTGGGAAGGCACTCTCATGGTGCTCCACCAATTACAACACTAATCCCCCGAAGGAACACGCGCAGCATGCTGTAAACTGGGGCGGTCACATGACAATGGATGCAGGCAGGATGGAGTCGACGTCAATTCATTCATCATCAATCAAGTTTATTTCGTAATTCAGGCCACATGGCCCATAGTGCAGTTGAAAGATAAAGTATATTTAGGTCACATATCCAGAGTGTTAAATAGCTGTCGATCAAATGTTGAACAACTTGCAGTAATATAAAGCTATTGTGCGCAGTACAACCACAGGAGTTAAATAAATTTTCGAACATAATTCTACCATTATAAAATATTTCTGTAACGAAGTAAGAAAACTGTGTGTTAAGTGTGTACATTTCTTACATACAAAACAGACATGGTATTTATCTTCCACCAAATGAAGGTCACGGTTTCTACATACAGATTCTGTATGAGGATTATTTAACGGTGTCATCGTTGGCCTTTTACGGATAATGTTGAATTATATATAACTGTAACATGAGACAAACAATTAGTTAGAGCGATGTGTAAATTTCGAAAGTTGTGAAGTGATATTCGAAATTTACACATTGCTCTAACTAATTGTTTACACAAAAATAGCATGCTTCCATCTACTCAATTGTGTCATGATATTAAGTACCCATCATTTCCGAACATGATACATCCATACACTAATCGGCAAACATGTTCATACAACTAAATCTAAGTATATTATCTCTGCTGCTTCACATTACATGGCACACACTGATGGGGAATGTTCACCGACCGCACAAGCACCTGTACTAGCTGCTACAGGCAGGAGGGGTTGATAGACGTGTACTAGGTGCTGCAGGCAGGAGGGGTGATACACCTGTACTAGGTGCTGGAGGCAGGAGGGGTGATACACCTGTACTAGGTGTTGGAGGCAGGAGGGGGTGATACACCTGTACTAGGTGTTGGAGGCAGGAGGGTGATACACCTGTACTAGGTGTTGGAGGCAGGAGGGGTGATACACCTGTACTAGGTGCTGCAGGCAGGAGGGTGGAGGCTAGGTGTTGCAGGCAGGAGGGGTGATACACCTGTACTAGGTGTTGGAGGCAGGAGGGTGATACACCTGTACTAGGTGTTGGAGGCAGGAGGGTGATGTACACCTGTACTAGGTGCTACAGGCAGGAGGGTGATACACCTGTACTAGGTGCTGCAGGCAGGAGGGGGTGATACACCTGTACTAGGTGTTGGAGGCAGGAGGGGGTGATACACCTGTACTAGGTGTTGGAGGCAGGAGGGGTGATACACCTGTACTAGGTGTTGGAGGCAGGAGGGGTGATACACCTGTACTAGGTGCTGGAGGCAGGAGGGTGATACACGTGTACTAGGTGCTGGAGGCAGGAGGGAGGGACTGATGCACAGGGGGGTGATACACCTGTACTAGGTGCTGCAGGCAGGAGGGGGTGATACACGTGTACTAGATGCTGCAGGCAGGAGGGGTGATACACGTGTACTAGGTGCTGCAGGCAGGAGGTGGTGATACACCTGTACTAGGTGCTGCAGGCAGGAGGGTGGTGATACACCTGTACTAGGTGCTGCAGGCAGGAGGGGGTGATACACGTGTACTAGATGCTGCAGGCAGGAAAGGGTGATACACGTGTACTAGGGGCTGCAGGCAGGAGGGGGTGATACACGTGTACTAGGTGCTGCAGGCAGGAGGGGGTGATACACGTGTACTAGGTGCTGCAGGCAGAAGGGGTGATACACCTGTACTAACTGCTGCAGGCAGGAGGGGATGATACACCTGTACTAGGTGCTGCAGGCAGGAGGTGGTGATACACCTGTACTAGGTGCTGCAGGCAGGAGGTGGTGATAGACGTTCACTAGGTGCTGCAGGCAGGAGGGGGTGATACACGTGTACTAGGTGCTGCAGGCAGGAGGGGTGATACACCTGTACTAGGTGCTGCAGGCAGGAGGGGGTGATACACCCGTACTAGGTGCTGCAGGCAGGAGGGGTGATACATGTACTAGGTGCTGCAGGCAGGAGGGGTGATACACCTGTACTAGGTGCTGCAGGGTGTTGGAGGCAGGAGGGTGATACACGTGTACTAGGTGCTGCAGGCAGGAGGGGGTGATACACCTGTACTAAGTGCTGGAGGCAGGAGGGTGATACACCTGTACTAAGTGCTGCAGGCAGGAGGGGGTGACTAGGTGCTGCAGGCAGGAGGGTGATACACGTGTACTAGGTGCTACAGGCAGGAGGGCTGGATGATACACCTGTACTAGGTGCTGCAGGCAGGGAGGGTTATACACCTGTACTAGGTGCTAGAGGCAGGAGGGGGTGATACACCTGTACTAGGTGTCTGCAGGCAGAAGGGGTGATACACCTGTACTAGGTGTTGCAGGCAGGAGGAGCGATACACCTGTACTAGGTGTTGCAGGCAGGAGGGGTGATACACCTGTACTAGGTGCTGGAGGCAGGAGGGGTGATGATACACCTGTACTAGGTGCTGCAGGCAGGAGGGTGCTGCAGGCAGGAGGGGGTGATACACGTGTACTAGGTGCTGCAGGCAGAAGGGGTGATACACCTGTACTAGGTGCTGCAGGCAGGAGGGGGTGATACACCTGTACTAGGTGCTGCAGGCAGGAGGGGGTGATACACCTGTACTAGGTGCTGCAGGCAGGAGGGGGTGATACACGTGTACTAGGTGCTGCAGGCAGGAGGGGTGATACACCTGTACTAAGTCCTGCAGGCCGGAGGGGGTGATACACGTGTACTAGGTGCTGCAGGCAGGAGGGGTGATACACCTGTACTAGGTGCTGCAGGCAGGAGGGGTGATACACGTGTACTAGGTGCTGGAGATACACGGACTAGGGTGAAACACGTGCATACTAGTTGCTGCAGGCAGAAGTGGGGTGATACACCTGTACTAGGTGCTACAGGCAGGAGGGGGTGATACACCTGTACTAGGTGCTGGAGGCAGGAGGGGGTGATACACCTGTACTAGGTGCTGCAGGCAGGAGGGGGTGATACACCTGTACTAGGTGCTACAGGCAGGAGGGGTGATACACCTGTACTAGGTGCTGCAGGCAGAAGGGGCTGATACACCTGTACTAAGTGCTGCAGGCAGGAGGGGGTGATACACCTGTACTAGGTGCTACAGACAGAAGGGGGTGATACACCTGTACTAGGTTCTGCAGGCAGAAGGGGTGATACACCTGTACTAGGTGTTGCAGGCAGGAGGGGGTGATACACCTGTACTAGGTGTTGCAGGCAGGAGGGGGTGATACACCTGTACTAGGTGCTACAGGCAGAAGGGGGTGATACACCTGTACTAGGTGTTGCAGGCAGGATGGGGTGATACACGTGTGCTTGGTGCTGCAGGCAGAAAGGGTTGATACAGCTATACTAGGTGCTGCATGCAGAAGGGGGTGATACTCCTGTACTAAGTGCAGCAGGCAGGAGGGGTAGATACACCTGTACTAGCTGCAGCAGGCAGGAGGGGGTGATACACGTGTACTAGGTGCTGCATGCAGGAGGGGGTGATACACCTGTACTAAGTCCTGCAGGCCGGAGGGGGTGATACACCCGTACTAGGTGCTGCATGCAGGAGGGGTTGATACATCTGTACTAAGTGCTGCAGGCAGGAGGGGGTGATACACGTGTACTAGGTGCTGCAGGCAGACGGGGTGATACACCTGTGCTACGTGCTGCAGGCAGGAGGGGGTGGTAAACCTGTACTAGGTGCTACAGGCAGAAGGGGGTGATACACCTGTACTAGGTTCTGCAGGCAGAAGGGGGTGATACACGTGTAATAAGTGCTGCAGGCAGAAGGGGATGATACACCTGTACAAAGTGCTGCAGGCAGACGGGGGTGATACACCTGTACAAAGTGCTGCAGGTAGGAGGGGGTGATACACCTTTAGTAGGTGATATGATAGTAATACAGTTATGTGATAACCTCTGCACCTTATGGTAATGCAGTGATATGATAACCTCTGTATCTTACGGTAATACAGAGGTATTATATCCTCAGCATCTCATGATGATATAATGATATAACCTCTGCGCGGGGGTATGATAGTAATACAGTGATGTAATAACCTCTGCACCTTATGGTAATACAGAGATATGATAACCTCAGCATCTCATGGTGATATAGTGATATAACCTCTGCATCTGGTAATACGATGATATGATATACTCTGCACCTTATGGTAATACAGTGATATGATAATCTCTGCATCTTACGGTAATACAGTGATATGATAACCTCTGCATCTTATGGTAATACAGTGATATGATAACCTCTGCATCTTAAGGTTAGAGAGAGAGATGATAACACTTCCATGTTACGTGTAAGTGTGATATGATTACCTGTGCATCTTATGGTAATACAGTGATATCATAACCTCGGTATCTTATGGTAATACAATGGTATGATATCCTCTGTATCTTATGGTAATACAATGATATGATATCCTCTGCATCGTATGGTAATACAATGATATGATAACCTCTGCATCGTATGGTAATACAGTGATATGATAACTTCTGCATCGTATTGTAATATATTGATATGATAAACGCTGCAAGTTTTGTTATATATATGACAACCTCTGCGTCGTATGGCATGAGAGGTATGATAATCTCTCCACGTTATTGCATAGAGGTGATATGGTTAGTGATTGGTAGGATAGCAAAACAATTGTTCACCAATTTCCAAGATGCTGAAGTAATCTTATCTATCTCATAGGGTATAAAGTACTTCCCTAGTATGATAAGCACTGCTGGTCTTGGTATGTGCCTGGTATGATAAGCACTGCTGGTCTTGGTATGTGCCTGGTATGATAAGCACTGCTGGTCTTGGTATGTGTCTGGTATGATAAGCACTGCTGGTCTTGGTATGTGCCTGGTATGATAAGCACTGCTGGTCTTGGTATGAGTCTGGTATGATAAGCACTGCTGGTCTTGGTATGTGCCTGGTATGACAAGCACTGCTGGCCTTGGTATTTGTCTCGTATGATAAGCACTAAGCACTACCGGTCTTGGTATGTGTCTGGTATGATAAGCACTGCTGGTCTTGGTATGTGTCTGGTATGATAAGCACTGCTGGTCTTGGTATGTGCCTGGTATGGTAAGCACTGCTGGTCTTGGTATTTGCCAGGTATGATAACCACTGCTGGTCTTGGTATGTGCCTGGTATGATAACCATTGCTTCTCTTGGTATTTGTCTGGTATGATAAGCACTGCTGGTCTTGGTATGTGCCTGGTATGATAAGCACTGCTGGTCTTGGTATCTGTTTGGTATGATAAGCACTGCTGGTCTTGGTATTTGTCTGGTATGATAAGCACTGCTGGTCTTGGTATGTGGCACTGCTGGTCTTGGTATTTGTCTGGTATGATAAGCACTGCTGGTCTTGGTATTTGTCTGGTATGATAAGCACTGCTGGTCTTGGTATGTGCCTGGTATGATAAGCACTGCTGGTCTTGGTATGTGTCTGGTATGATAAGCACTGCTGGTCTTGGTATGTGCCTGGTATGATAAGCACTGCTGGTCTTGGTATTTGTCTGGTATGATAAGCACTGCTGGTCTCGGTATGTGCCTGGTATGATAACCACTGCAGGTTTTAGTACTGGCCTAGTATGATAACCACTGGTGGTTTTGGTATTTGGGGGTATTATAAGCGCCTCCAGTTTTAGTGTGGACCTTCATAAGCACTGCTGGTCTTGGTATTTGTCTGGTATGATAAGCACTGCTGGTCTTTGTATGTGCCTGGTATGATAAGCACTGCTTGTCTTGGTATTTGTCTGGTATGATAAGCACTGCTGGTCTCTGTATGTGCCTGTTATGATAACCACTGCAGGTTTTAGTACTGGCCTAGTATGATAACCACTGGTGGTTTTGGTATTTTGGGGGTATTATAAGCGCCTCCAATTTTAGTGTGGACCTTCACAAGCACTGCTGGTCTTGGTATTTGCCAGGTATGATAAGCACTGCTGGTCTTTGTATGTGCCTGGTATGATAAGCACTGCTTGTCTTGGTATTTGTCTGGTATGATAAGCACTGCTGGTCATGGTATGTGCCTGGTATGACAAGCACTGCTGGTCTTGGTATCTGTTTGGTATGATAAGCACTGCTGGTCTTGGTATTTGTCTGGTATGATAAGCACTGCTGGTCTTGGTATGTGCCTGGTATGATAAGCACTGCTGGTCTTGGTATTTGCCTGGTATGATAAGCACTGCTGGTCTTGGTATTTGTCTGGTATGATAAGCACTGCTGGTCTTGGTATGTGCCTGGTATGATAAGCACTGCTGGTCTTGGTATTTGGTATGATAAGCACTGCTGGTCTTGGTATTTGTCTGGTATGATAAGCACTGCTGGTCTTGGTATGTGCCTGGTATGATAAGCACTGCTGGTCTTGGTATTTGTCTGGTATGATAAGCACTGCTGGTCTTGGTATTTGTCTGGTATGATAAGCACTGCTGGTCTTGGTATTTGTCTGGTATGATAAGCACTGCTGGTCTTGGTATGTGCCTGGTATGATAAGCACTGCTGGTCTTGGTATTTGTCTGGTATGATAAGCACTGCTGGTCTTGGTATGTGTCTGGTATGATAAGCACTGCTGGTCTTGGTATTTGTCTGGTATGATAAGCACTGCTGGTCTTGGTATGTGTCTGGTATGATAAGCATTGCTGGTCTTGGTATGTGCCTGGTATGATAACCACTGCTGGTCTTGGTATGTGTCTGGTATGATAAGCACTGCTGGTCTCGGTATGTGCCTGGTATGATAACCACTGCAGGTTTTAGTACTGGCCTAGTATGATAACCACTGGTGGTTTTGGTATTTGGGGGTATTATAAGCGCCTCCAGTTTTAGTGTGGACCTTCATAAGCACTGCTGGTCTTGGTATGAGTCTGGTATGAAAAGCATTGTCGGTCTTAGTACTGGCCTTGTTGCTGTTGTACAAAACATCCTTAGTGCTAAGACTGTTGCAAGTCTGTCTTATGTTATGATCACCAGAGTGTTAAGATTGCTTTGTACAAGCGCACCCCTGTATGTAAAGCACTGGCACTGGTTATGGACTGAGCTAATGTGTTTTGGCTGATGCATTACAGTCTTATACAGGACGGCTTTGAACCAGTAATATGAGGATCACCAAGGCAGAAGAATGAGTAAGTCAGTTTAGTTTTACGCCTCAATATTACACCAAGGCAGAAGAAGCGTGATATGTGCTGTGCCTTGATTGTTAGCGCTATGAGCATACCTAGTGTGGAGTTTGGCGCTATATAAATGAACACATTATTATTATTATTATATGTAAACTCACACTGGGCTTTTCCCAATTTCACACAAAATTATTCACATAAAATAATACATACAAGACAAAGGTAGAATAAAATATTTTTATTGTCTACCCCGTACAAAGCAGGATTCCCATCAAACATTTTGTTTTGGCTCCACAGCAGATTTCTAAGTTCCTAATTTTGAGTGTTGGTGGCTGATGTTTTTTCGACAGTAACTACATTTACTGTTGGAATTTAAGCACAGCTTGTCTGGGCAGATGTGTTTGTATCTGGTTTCCACATCTACAGATGTGTTTGTATCTGGTTTCCACATCTACAGATGTGTTTGTATCTGGTTTCCACATCTACAGATGTGTTTTTATCTGGTTTCCACATCTACAGATGTGTTTGTATCTGGTTTCCACATCTACAGATGTGTTTGTATCTGGTTTCCACATCTACAGATGTGTTTTTGTATCTGGTTTCCACATCTACAGATGTGTTTGTATCTGGTTTCCACATCTACAGATGTGTTTGTATCTGGTTTCCACATCTACAATATGTGTTTTGTATCTGGTTTCCACATCTACAGATGTGTTTTTATCTGGTTTCCACATCTACAGATGTGTTTGTATCTGGTTTCCACATCTACAGATGTGTTTGTATCTGGTTTCCACATCTATCTGATGTGTTTGTATCCTGGTTTCCACATCTACAGATGTGTTTGTATCTGGTTTCCACATCTACAGATGTGTTTGGTTTCCACATCTACAGATGTGTTTGTATCTGGTTTCCACATCTACAGATGTGTTTGTATCTGGTTTCCCATCTACAGATGTGTTTGTATCTGGTTTCCACATCTACAGATGTGTTTGTATCTGGTTTCCACATCTACAGATGTGTTTGTATCTGGATTTTTGTATCTGGTTTCCACATCTACAGATGTGTTTGTATCTGGTTTCCACATCTACAGATGTGTTTGTATCTGGTTTCCACATCTACAGATGTGTTTGTATCTGGTTTCCACATCTACAGATGTGTTTGTATCTGGTTTCCACATCTACAGATGTGTTTGTATCTGGTTTCCACATCTACAGATGTGTTTGTATCTGGTTTCCACATCTACAGATGTGTTTGTATCTGGTTTCCACATCTACAGATGTGTTTGTATCTGGTTTCCACATCTACAGATGTCTACACATCTACAGATGTGTTTGTATCTGGTTTCCATACAGATGTGTTTGTATCTGGTTTCCACATCTACAGATGTGTTTGTATCTGGTTTCCACATCTACAGATGTGTTTGTATCTGTTGTCCACATCTACAGATGTGTTTGTATCTGGTTTCCATGTCTACAGATGTGTTTGTATCTGGTTTCCACATCTACAGATGTGTTTGTATCTGGTTTCCACATCTACAGATGTGTGCTTGTATCTGGTTTCCACATCTACAGATGTGTTTGTATCTAGTTTCCACATCTACAGATGTGTTTGTATCTGGTTTCCACATCTACAGATGTGTTTGTATCTGGTTTCCACGTCTACAGATGTGTTTGTATCTGGTTTCCACATCTACAGATGTGTTTGTATCTGGTTTCCATGTCTACAGATGTGTTTGTATCTGGTTTCCACATCTACAGATGTGTTTGTATCTGGTTTCCACATCTACAGATGTGTTTGTATCTGGTTTCCACATCTACAGATGTGTTTGTATCTGGTTTCCACATCTACAGATGTGTTTGTATCTGGTTTTTGTACTGGTTTCCACGTCTACAGATGTGTTTGTATCTGGTTTCCACATCTACAGATGTGTTTGTATCTGGTTTCCACATCTACAGATGTGTTTGTATCTGGTTTCCACATCTACAGATGTGTTTGTATCTGGTTTCCACATCTACAGATGTGTTTGTATCTGGTTTCCACATCTACAGATGTGTTTGTATCTGGTTTCCACGTCATGTCTACAGATGTGTTTGTATCTGGTTTCCACATCTACAGATGTGTTTGTATCTGGTTTCCACATCTACAGATGTGTTTGTATCTGGTTTCCACATCTACAGATGTGTTTGTATCTGGTTTCCATGTCTACAGATGTGTTTGTATCTGGTTTCCACATCTACAGATGTGTTTGTATCTGGTTTCCATGTCTACAGATGTGTTTGTATCTGGTTTCCACATATACAGATGTGTTTGTATCTGGTTTCCACGTCTACAGATGTGTTTGTATCTGGTTTCCACATCTACAGATGTGTTTGTATCTGGTTTCCACATCTACAGATGTCTTTGCATCTGGTTTCCACATCTGTAGGAATATTCATGAATGCTTCCACACAATCATCATAATTTCCTGGCTTTTTAGATTATATCATGTGTGGCTATTAAATACCTCAATATAATGACGTGTTATTGTCATAACCAAAATAAGATTGGCAATACAAACAATAAAGGAGTTCATAAGACAAAGTAGCCAATGTGTTGTGGTCTCCTATAATCTCACACCAAAGTATAACATGCCTGTGTGGAAAATATTCAAAGTCATCTTCTTCGGAAGTGAAAAACGGGGATGACCAATGGAGTCCAACGTTGACTGCCACTGACCAACAGAGTCAGATCACTAGAATGAGTGTACAACACTGTCTGTCACCAATCGTGTTGAAACAGTGTCACAGGAATCATGGAAGGGTCCTACAGGGCCTGAAAATAACCAACATAATTATCCCATAATGGTGTACAATATCATTCCTGGGCCTATTAAACATGTACATTGCAAACATGGTGAGTCATTCTATAATGTAAGATAATTTTCACAAAGTATATACTATCTGTTTGTAGCTTTATGCAAATGTATTCTTTTGGTCGAACATAAATAGTTTGTTCACAAGCTATTAGTGCTTTTTGAAAAAACACGTAATTTACAAATTCCTGTTCAATCTGCTGCCTAAACTGGGTACACTGAGCCATTTCTCTTGTGTTGAAGTGGAGTAAAGAAGGTGTCACATCATCATGTACTGCAACATGGGAACCCAGCCTCCACACAAATAAATCATATGTCAATTTGCGTAATCTTTATTTCCTCCCCATTCATCCCCTCAACAATTGCTGACAAATTCTACAGCCCAAAGAGGGTATTCTTGTCATCAAGTGTTGCCACAAAGCTTGCATTCATCACCGTTTGTACGAGTCAGGAGCACCACAGTTTTTCTGTAAAACACACCTTTCATATAAGAATGTGATATTGTGGGTTGTATCAATATGGTAATTGTGCGCAAGTCGGCCGGGACTCAGTGTAAAGGCATAAATCACCCAGACTGTATAGAGGCGCGATGAGGGGGGAAAACTGCCCTGTACACCACGCTCAATCGCTTTTCACTTTCGAGATTTGTCTTGCTGAGAGCGGCAGCCGAGGGACAATGAGGTGATCAGTTTACGGGTGCTCCTGGTGGGATCCTACTTCATGCATCACAGGCGGCAGTCATCTCTGCGACTCCCCTCTCCCTCACTCACAAACATACACAACATGGCCACAAAAACAAGTTTTTATTCATGAGTTTGTTTAAATTTCAATTGCTACATTCTTGTATACAATGATGCATACAGGGTGCAGTATGGGCAGACACGGGGTACTCACAAGACTGAACTCACTAGACAAGAGGATTCACTAGACAGGAACTCTCATACAGGGGACACACTAGACAGGGGGAACCGCTAGACATGAAGACTCACTAGACATGGGGACTCACTAGACATGAAGAATCACTAGACATGGGGACTCACTAGACTAGGGGACTCACTAGACATTGGGACTCACTAGATACGGGAACTCACTAGACTAGGGGACTCTCTAGACTAAAGACTCGCTAGACCAGGGGACTCACTAGACATGGGGACTCACTAGACCAGGGGACTCACTAGACATGGGACTCACTAGACTAGGGCACTCGCTAGACTAAAGACTTGCTAGACCAGGGGACTCACTAGACATGGGGACTCACTCACTAGACATGGGGACTCATTAGACATGGGGACTCACTAGACATGGGGACTCACTAGACAAAAGACTTCGCTAGACTCACTCAGACATGGGGACTCACTAGACTAGGGGACTCACTAGACAGGGGACTCACTAGACATAAAGACTCACTAGACTAGACAGGGGACTCGCTAGACCAGGGGACTCACTAGACAGGAGGACTCACTAGACATGGGGACTCACTAAACAGGGGACTCACTAGGCTAGGGACTCCACTCACTAGACATGGGGACTCACTAGACAGGGGACTCACTAGACATGGGGACTCACTAGACATGGGGACTCACTAGACAGGGGACTCACTAGACTAGGGGACTCACTAGACATGGGGACTCACTAGACATGGGGACTCACTAGACATGGGGACTCACTAGACAAGGGGACTCACTAGACATGGGGACTCACTAGACATGGGGACTCACTAAACTAGGGGACTCACTAGACTAGGGGACTCACCAGACATGGGGAATTCACTAGACAGGAGGACTCAATAGACACACTAATTTTAGGAAATACAGAACTTCTTTTATGATTTCTTTTATTTCGAGTGCAATGATACAGATTCTTGTACCTTTGCACCACTTGCAGGGTCTATCTGAGTTAACCTCTTGCACCACTTGCAGGGGATCTATCTGACAACTTGCAGGGGTTTAACCTCTTGCACCACTTGCAGGGGTCTATCTGATTTAACCTCTTGCACCACTTGCAGGGGTCTATCTGATTTAACCTCTTGCACCACTTGCAGGGGTCTATCTGATTTAACCTCTTGCACCACTTGCAGGGGTCTATCTGATTTAACCTCTTGCACCACTTGCAGGGGTCTATCTGATTTAACCTCTTGCACAACTTGCAGGTGTCTATCTGAGCTTCATTGTCAAACAGTTTCTGAGAAGATATTTCTGCTTGTTTTGTATTTCGCAACAGTGCCACTAAGAGCAACATTCGATTTCTGATAATTTTTTACACACTTGGAACTAAACAAGGTGACTATCTCAACCCTAAAGGTTCTGGCTCTCGGAAAGATCACTTTTGAATGTCACCAGCGATGTCAACCGGGCAGCCATGTTGAAATTCCAATGTTGACATCACAGACAAGGTAAAAAGGAGGCATGGTTTATGCTATAAAACCGTGGGACACACAGTACTGTGTAATGGTTGCTGCACTAGATACACATGTACCCGCACACCTGCCTGTTGAGGTCATGATGACCTGCCTACACACACCATCCATGGCTGCAGACTTCAAAAGGCACAATCATAAATCAGTAAAAACACTTCACATATACAGTGTTTCTACTCATGTTTCTAAACCAAATCCAAGAAAATATTTTCTTCTCATTTGGGGTGATGTGATTGCAAGGGGTACAGCAAGAGAGGCTAATGAAAGGCAGAGTGGCCGATTGCTCCGGTTGATGGGACACTTTCACTGTCAGCCATGTGGAGGACTCCCACTAGAAGCATCACTTCACACACAGTGAAAACCCTCAGACAACCATGTACAACTAGCACATCATAAATCTTCACACATGAACTTAAACAGTTATGGCAAATTAATGATGGCAGTAAATATGTTTCCTCTTTGTGATAATGTGGACCACAGGAAACAGTTACTGACAAAGTGCAGAAGCAGTGCTAGACCCAACTTGCACACACACCTGGGCCGGCCTACAACTAAATTACACTTAATTGCTTCACTGCAACAGGTAACAAGCAGACATTAAACTTGCAGAAGACACGACAACAATGTGAACACTGCCAACACCTGTCAGGGTGGAATTTACAGTCTCAGCATGTCAGCCTCGTGATTAAAACTGACAGCTCGGATAGCTCTACTCCGCTCCAAAATATTCATTACACAGCTGTATACAACATATACAACTTGCTGTACACAAGTACTGGTGGCCTGTAGTCAGTGGGGATGAATACAACATATACACAAGTACCGGTGGCCTGTAGTCAGTGGGGATGTATGTATACACAAGTAATGGTGGCCTGTAGTCAGTGGGGATGTACGTATACACAAGTACTGGTGGCCTGTAGTCAGTGGGGATGTACGTATACACAAGTACCGGTGGCCTGAAGGAATTGGGGTGTACGTATACACAAGTACTGATAGCCTGTAGTCAGTGGGGATGTGTGTATACACAAGTACTGATAGCCTGTAGTCAGTGGGGATGTCACGTATACACAAGTACTGGTGGCCTGTAGTCAGTGGGGATGTGCGATACACACAAGTACTGGTGGCCTGTAGTCAGTGGGGATGTACATATACGTATACAAAGTACTGGTGGCCTGTAGTCAGTGGGGATGTATGTATACACAAGTACTGGTGGCCTGTAGTCAGTGGGGATGTACATATACACAAAGTACTGGTGGCCTGTAGTCAGTGGGGATGTAATTATACACAAGTACTGGTGGCCTGTAGTCAGTGGGGATGTGCGATACACAAGTACTGGTGGCCTGTAGTCAGTGGGGATGTGCGTTATACACAAGTACCGGTGGCCTGTAGTCAGTGGGGATGTACGATATACACAAGTACTGGTAGCCTGTAGTCAGTGGGGATGTGCGTGTACACAAGTACTGGTGGCCTGTAGTCAGTGGGGATGTACGTATACACAAGTACTGGTGGCCTGTAGTCAGTGGGATGTATATACACAAGTACTGGTGGCCTGTAGTCACAAGTACTAGTGGCCTGTAGTCAGTGGGGATGTATCGTATACACAAGTACCGGTGGCCTGTAGTCAGTGGGGATGTCACATTATACACAAGTACTGGTGGCCTGTAGTCAGTGGGGATGTGCGTATACACAAGTACTGGTGGCCTGTAGTCAGTGGGGATGTACGTATACACAAGTACTGGCCTGGTGGCCTGTAGTCCTGTAGTCAGGGGGATGTATGCATACACAAGTACTGGTGGCCTGTAGTCAGTGGGGATGTCACGATATACACAAGTACTGGTGGCCTGTAGTCAGTGGGGATGTATGCGTATACACAAGTACTGGTGGCCCTGTAGTCAGTGGGGATGTCGCACGATATACACAAGTACCTGGTGGCCTGTACTGGTCAGTGGGGATGTATGTATACACAAGTACTGGTGGCCTGTAGTCAGTGGGGATGTATACATATAACACAAGTACTGGTGGCCTGTAGTCAGTGGGATGTACGTATACACAAGTACTGGTGGCCTGTAGTCAGTGGGGATGTACGTATACACAAGTACTGGTGGCCTGTAGTCAGTGGGGATGTATGTATACACAAGTACTGGTGGCCTGTAGTCAGTGGGGATGTACGTATACACAAGTACTGGTGGCCTGTAGTCAGTGGGGATGTACGTATATACACAAGTACTGGTGGCCTGTAGTCAGTGGGGATGTATGTATACACAAGTACTGGTGGCCTGTAGTCAGTGGGGATGTACGTATACACAAGTACTGGTGGCCTGTAGTCAGTGGGGTGTCATGTGTATGATACACAAGTACTGGTGGCCTGTAGTCAGTGGGGATGTACGTATACACAAGTACTGGTGGCCTGTAGTCAGTGGGGATGTACGTATACACAAGTACTGGTGGCCTGTAGTCAGTGGGGATGTACATTATACACAAGTACTGGTGGCCTGTAGTCAGTGGGGATGTCAGCGATATATACACAAGTACTGGTGGCCTGTA